GCTTGCCAAATGGGTACATAATCTTCCTTTTAGGGTAGAAGGTGTGATTTTGTATAAATAACTTGGATGAGAATACAGGAAGCATGGTTAGTAAGTTTGTGGATGTGACCAACATTGGTAGTAATAGATAGTGAAGAATGGTATCAAGAAGATACAATCTTTTGATCCATTGGGTCAATGGAGATTACTTTCCATTAATCCAATTAATGTTTATGTATAACAAGGGTGGGACTTTTACAATTAATGGTAGGGCCCTGGGTAGTGTTGTGGAACAGATCTAGGGGGTTACAGTAAATTTCTTGAAATTGCATCACAGGTACAGTGGTTAGAAGGAATTTAGCACACTTGCCTTCATTATTCAACTGAGTATGAGTTGAGATGTTGAAGTTGTACGATATGTTGGTATACTAGAGTACTTCCCAGTTTTGTTCTAAGGATATGAAACTGGAGAAGGTTCAGAAAATTTGTCAGGATGTTACTCAGAATGGAGGGTTTGAGTTCTAAAATAGGCTTGGACTTTCTTCCTGCAGCAGAAGCGGTTGAAGGGTTCACTTTTTATAAACAAGGTGAATAGCAAAGGTCCATTCACTACGGTTAGGGCATTCAAAACTAGGGGTCATAAGGTGAGGGAGACTTTTTTAAGGGCAGGAGGCCACTTTTAAGGCCTTGTGCAGAATGAACTGCCAGAGGAAGTGGCAGATGTGGATAGTCACAACACTAAAGGACATTCAGACAGGTTACATGAATAGGAAAGGTTTAGAGGGATATGGGCTAAATGCAGGCAGGTGAAGCCAGTTTAGTTTGGGAACAGGGTGTGGACTGAAAGGTCTGTTTCTATGCTGTATGACTTGTCAGTACAGTTGAAATTTAATCAGTCCTACTGGACTTAATGGTAATATGGGCACAGATCTCCTTATTGACACTTAGATTTTCAGCATCTGCAGTGGCTGTATCTTAAAGCTAGGTCTTCTGACTCAGACTGTACTATCACTGTACCATGAATCCAACTTAGTTTTAAATGTCACTCAAATTTTAATGTAATCAAAATTCTCCAGGAAGCTATAAAGGCCAATTGGCTATGCTCAATTTGGAAACTTGATAGTGAACAGGCAATACCTCTTGCTTTAAAAAGCAGACATGGGGATTGGAATGGTTTTCTAAACTAGAAAAAGCTAAAGGGTTGAATGGATGCCACTTGACACCATCCATTACTACTACTAATCCTTGTAGATGAAGATGAGATTGGTTTAAAACTTTCCACATTACAACACTTCCAGGTAAATGATTGGAATAAATGGAATGGCTTGGTTAGTGGCAGAGCTAGTTTTAGATCACGGTATTCACCATTGCTAGAATATGGTAGTCACAGTATATAGTACCTCTGCCTGTTTCTTCTTTGGGAATGAATATAATTGGCTGAAGGCTGGTATCTCTGCTGTGGATCTCTGAAGACCAAGAATGCTCATCTGATTGAAGATGCTTACAAAAGATTCAGCTGCCCTTTGTCCACTAGGCTCCTCTTGAGAATGGACTTTTTGTGGAGCTACCACCTCCAGTGACTTGCTTAATTGGTCACTCCTCCTGGTAAGACTACACAACATAGATCTGATCTTTTGGGAAGACTTTCCTTGCTTTCTCGGGTGTGCAAGGAGGCCGACATCTCTTGGTATCTGATTCTGCTCCTAGTATATCACTGAACCACTCTTCCAATTTGCTGGCCATGGAGCAGTAAGTATGCTAGGGTGAGATTTAGAATGGATGCTGAGGTGATTTCGAGATCTTTGCAATATCTCTTTTATGAAGGATGTGTACATAACAGTCAGCCTGTTTGTGTTTTAACAGGCATCTGTCCCCAGCAAACTATCTTTTTGCTACCAAAAAGATGGCTTAATAGCCTTTCTCGCTAGGTTTCTTCACCACCTAGCAGTTATGTGCTTAAGGGCTTCTTCAGCAGTGGTACTAAGATACACTTTAATGATACTGAAACACCTTAGTACATGTCCTTCAGTCTTTCCATACTCAGTAGCTTCACACAACTAGTGAGGCCAGGACACAAGGACAGGTGATCACAGTGAGAAGGGTAGTTGGTCACAACTGCTTTCACTACTGACATCTAATGGAGTCTTGGGGCTCTGGTTCAAGACTCCAAGTCTGAAACAACACAAAGGGGGTCACAGAAATAAGTACTGTCCTGCATTTAACATTTTTTTTAAAAAAAAAAAGTGATAGCAATGCTAGATACTTTTCCAGCCATGCTTGAGGAAACAATTCTTGATGTAAGAATTCTAACCTGCTACCTGCATACCTCCAGACATATTTGTAGCTGAATACAGGGATCTCTTGCATATGCTTAGACTACAGAATCTCAATTCTTCATGTTTGAGAAATCCACACATGATTTCTTAGACTGTTATCTGCAAACATACCCTCACTTGTCAAGTTACTTTAGTTTTGCAAACTACAATGTGGGTCTTTGGTTTTGATCTTAAATCTTGGAAATAAGCCTCAAGCTATTTGCATGTTCCTTTTCTTTCTGCAGGACAACAGCTACCATGCACAGGCCAGGCTTGCCATATCATTCAGTTGTGAAGGTGTGATGATCTCTTGAAATAGACAAAACACTTCTTTAGATTCCAATTATCCAAAACAATATCAACCAGATGGTTTTATTATAGAACAAAACTGCATGCTATATAAATCAGAAATACAAACAGAAATTACTGGAAATGCTCAGGTCTGGTAGTATCTATGGAGAGAAATCAGTTAATGTTCCACATCCAGTGACCTTTCCTCAATTCTGAGGAAGGGTCGGCAGACCTGAAATGTTAACTGGTTTCTCTTCACAGATGCTATCAGACCTGTTTTGTGCTTTTACAATAGTTTCTGATTTTACAACTTAAGCAGCACTTGCTGAACCAATTATGTTTGTTATTAGCTATGCTATCAAAATTACATGGTCAAAAGTGACAGACATTTTTGCTGAAAATGAAAGGCATATGTTCAAGCCTTTCACCTGTTTTGAACTGTCCTGAAACACGGAGCCTACAATTTCCTACTGCTTTCTCCTATGGCAATACCTCAGCCAACCATAGACTTAACAACCACTGTCTCTACAAAAACAGAAGTAGCTGGAAAAGCTCAGCAGGTCTGGCAGCATTTGTGCAGAAAATCAGTTAATGGTTCAGGTCCAGTGACAGATGTTGCCAGACTTGCGGAGCTTTTCCAGCTACTTCTGTTTTTGTTCAGACACTTTCAGCATCTGCAGTTCTTTTGGTTTTTATTTGCCAACCAAATGTTTTGGTCTGATCACCTGAAATTCTTCTTTTATCAGAGCAAGATAAAAGCTTTGAAAACTTTTGGTAATATTCAAGTTAAGTAGTACCATGTGATGGAAGTGCTTATCCCTTTGCCCTGATACTTTTGTGGGGACACTTCAATGAAAGCAGTTTCATAAAAAGACTCATTTAAGAAACCTTTCTAAAGTTGACCTTTAAATAAGGAAAAGCAAAATTTCTTTGGCTTAGTGTTGTGAGCCTTTGAACTGTAAGACAATAATTTGCACTTTATCACCTTTTTTTAAACTTTCCAGACCAGTAGAACTCAGCTGGTAGTATTCTTAACTTGTAGAAAATATTATGCATGGAGGTATGAGGTTGAACGTTACCTAAAATTATATTCCAGTGGAAGGGAGGTTTTGTCCTCGGATGTTGAAGATCCCATGATGACATGCAGGGAACAAACTTGCATGTTCCATATTTGAGGCAAAGCCAATGAATCAAGATGTTAGTTTAGTTTATATACATTTGAAGGTTCAACTTGAAATACACGATTAATGGCTTTATCAAAATACAAAAAGAAAATGGATTGTCTTCAATTCTTAAAGAAAATTGTCTATTTTAAGATTAGCTTATTGCAGGAAACAAAACTAGTTCAAATGCTTCAGCCTCTGTATTCCATCAAATGACTATAAAGAGCACTTAAATGAGAAATTAGATTTACTTCTAACACCACTTTGAACAAAATAAGGTGCAATTCAAGTGTGTCAGTTGACTCTGGTGTCAAGAAACTAGTATCTCCTAATTTCACATACTGAATGTGAAAGGTTGCCTGTGGTGTATCCAGCTTGGTGAGACAACAGGAGCCAGATTTGGGAATACAGTTTTTTGACACTTGGAACAGCAGAGGGTCAGAAAGAAAGATTTGGTAACATACAGGACTAGAAGCCTTGTTCTTGCATGTTGAAAACCATGCACAGTTAAAGATAAAATTGAAGGAGGGGGGGAGAAAAACATTCACTGAAAACTCAGATGGCAACAGACATCTGAGGATAAAGTCAAACATTAAACAATTGTGGTCTCAAGTTAAGGGAGTTAGAGGTGATGAGCTTAATTCTTCCTGCCAGTACCAGAGATTGTGTTAAACTATATTTGTATGTGTTTTATTTTTGGTTTGTAATCAAATTCCTCTTCCTTTATTCAAGAAAGCCTGGTAATTGGCTCCTTAATTTTCAAAATTGCTTATTTTAATTAAAATACAATTAAAGGTGCATGTGAGAAGAAAATAAAAATTTGTGACTAATCAAGAGGGGATTAAAAGGACAGCAGACCAACTACCCAATCTCATCTGGTCACAACAGTACAAATTTCAGTTCATTATTTGGAACTGAGCAATTCATTTACATAATGGCAAAAACTGTCAGTATGACTGCAATGGTTCCAGCTACAAATGGACACCTTCAAAATACAATGCCAATTGTGTATATTTAAGGCAGAGTTACTGATTTAAACTTTTACTTATGAATTGAAAAATTGCAATTCATGTGATTGAATTGTTTCATGCCATTTGTTGTTTGATAATTCTAATAGTGAAATTAACCAAATTTTGCCTTAGTAGTTGACAATACTTTGACTGATTTGCTGTACAGGCCTTGGGTAATGGAAAACATATACATAGGATATTTGCAATTTTGATGGAACAAATGAGAAAATAAATACATTCAGTTTATAATACTTCATAGGATTTTATGTTGCAATATAACATTGGAACATAAATATTTTGCTTTTAAAATATCTTCCCGTAGCAATTTTTGTACATAAAGAATGCAAACACGTGATATAGTAAGCTGCAGTCATATAGCACACCTTTTACATTCAGTAGGTTGATTGTACCACCTGATTTACTAAGTACATAATTTAGGGGAAGCCTAATCAAGGATAAGAGCAAAGTACTAAAATCCACAATAGTTGTTTATCATTGTTAGAAGTTATCCATTTATAAACAATAGCAGAATTGTAGCTTGATGCATAATCTGTTCACATTTCTGAATGTGATTAATCAAAATATTTATCTTCAGCTGTTGATTATGCACTGACTTATAACAAACTCTGGCAATCTGATGCATCAACTGTGGCAACTACCTGTAATGAACTTATTACAAAGTCCACCATCAATAGCTTGTTTACACTTCAACTTGAAATCAAAATGAAGAAAAATTTAAAAACTGAAAATTTCAAATTTCTGGTTAAGATTTGGGGCCTATCCACATTCTGTGGAGCTGAACATTTCAACCTAAGTGTACTGGTAACAGTTCAGTATTGTACAAGACCACTGCAGCGCCAGGCCAGAAGTCTTAATACAAGTAATTCAATTTAATTATTTACTTTTTATCTAAACTTACTTGAAATAAGTACCTTTTTTATTAAGAATTAAATTACATCCTTTTTAAAGAATATAGTCAGTTGTCATTAGTTAAGCTTAACTCCACACTAACTAACCAAATATTTTAAGAATCATATCAAAACCTACCTTTTTCTTAGCCAGGCACGAAATGCAAGTAGACTCCTTTTCAGAATGTGTTTTTTTTTTTTTTTTTTTGGGGTCTTTAAGATGAATTTCAGTAATGAATATGAAGCAGTATAGTTATTAAAGCCTTAAGCAACCTAAAGAGTCACTGTCACTTTTGTTCTCCAAGCAGTTCAAGAATTGTGCAAAGGAATGCAATTCATTCTCTATGAGACAGAACAGGAAGTAACCAGTTTGAATTTGTAGGTATTTTGTTTAAAAACATGTATAGTCTCATCTCCCTCAAATGGTCAATTATTCATACAATGATTAAGTTAATATATTCAAGGTCTGTTTCATGTAAATGTATGCTGCATCTGAAACAGCAAATGTCAAAGTCATACTTGCAATGAAACTGCACTTTGTAGTGTCCAATGGTAATGTATTTAAAAGAACAAAAAGGAGGGAGAATTAGCAAGTATTAGAACAGTATCTTCAGCTTACAGTTTTACATGCAATGATGTACTATTCCAAATGTTGTAAACATATGTAATACAATGTATATATTTAAAATTGATAACTGCACACATTGCATAATGTATGTACAGTTGCTTTTGCACTGTTTACTGCTTGAATGAGCATCTGTGACTAAACATCAACTTTTGAGGACCTACACTCCTAGGTAGTGTTACCACTGAGGAGTTAAGGCCATCCATCTCTGGTGCAGGAGGCAGTGACGTTCCCTTTTATCACAGCTAAAACTGGACTTGTTTGTGCTAATGTCCTGTAATTCAACCAACCATATCTAAAATCATAAAGACTCTTCAGAGACTTCCAAATCTTAGTATAAATTAAACCAATACAATGAAATGATGCTTGAGATAGAACTTAACCTATTTATTTAGGTTAATAACATTTAAAAAGTCAATAGATAAGACAGAAATGGAAATTTTCCATCCCAGAAAACCTAACCCTCAAAAGGGTTATCCAAGCACTGCTTTCAATCCCTAACAGCAGACCTGGAAGAACTGAAAATAAATTTTGAATTTTCAATTATTCTCAATGGATCGTCTTAAAGGCTGTTTTGTAGTAACTTCCATCTGTCAAACAGATTTTTATCTGTAACAGGGTGTAAATCCTTAAGAGGTCTCAACACTGCCCTCAGATGAGGTAAAAGAAACTTTAACAAGTTTCCCAGTCATTCATTCTCAAGTAACTTTGTCTGATCACTTACAATCAAAACCACATATAATCCCATGAGTACATTGAGAGTATGCGCAGCATCCATGTTAAAAGCAGAAGGACAAAAAGGATCAGTGCAAACTGAAACCTGAACCTATTCTCAGCAAAACTGCTATTTTTAACTTTATTTAGAATACTGAGATGATGTCAAGAACAAAAGTCAAGCTTATATAGTTAAATTACTAAATGAGGCTGCCTATAAATCTGACAAGCAGGCAGATGTATCCCATCAACAGCATAGGTAAGATTAGTAAGTGCTAGTTGCCATGGATGGCTGCAGTACACCAGATATGGTGTGCCTGGTTCCAAGGCGATTATAATACTGGCAAAGGCAAGTAACAATATTTACAGTCACCTCACAAGGTGGGTCTCGAATGATTTTCTCGATCATCTATGTACAAAATATGCACAGGAATAAGCAAGTTTCAGCCACTTTACAACATCAGATGGAAGTATCCACAGTTGTGAATCTGTGACGTTGGAGTTCGTAGGATGTTAATCAGATAAAATGTGCACGAAGGACACTGGAAAGACACCACTTCTGTCAGGTTGCCCCTCAATATAGCCAATCTGTCAAAATTGAGGAAATGAAGGTTTAGTATCTCAAGATGCAAATATTTTCTCTTGTACCTAAAGTGCAAACATTAAGTATTTTTATTTAATCCTCATTGTATACTTGTGTGATTTGCACAAAGACAGGTCCTTGGCTCATTGTCTGTTGTTCCTGACATTATGACTTCAGATTTTCTGTTGCAACTAATGAATAGTCCAAATTCTAAAACTGTGTAAATGAGGCTGTGTGAATACTACAGGATTTGGGGACTGGAAATTTGCCACTGGGGAAGGGTGATGTATGACCTCATCAAAATCCATAAGTAGACCTCGACATTGATCCTCAAAAGCACTGCAAATTTAGTGAAATGTTAAGTCATACTAACCAGGAGCTTCCCAGATTGAATTTCCATTCTGTGCTGAATTTGTTTTAGTAGTAACGTTGATCAGGATTCCCACTAAAAACTTCACCCTGCATAGGTGTGTGCAAGACGGGACATAGCCATCCTTTGTCAATCCATTCCTGGGGTCATCAAGCCTTTGGCCGTGGAGAATGGATGAGATATTATTTGTTTGCTGTGGTAACTGTAGTTGAGAAGGGTACTAGAATTGGCCTTAACACCCAAAGGATTCCCATTTAGCTCCTGTAGAACATCTGCCAGATGAGCACTTTTGGACGTCTTTAAACTAAAATTCTCTGTATAGTGTGTTGACTGAAACTGGGGAGGGACCTGATGAACTGTGGCGAGTTCCCACTGCCAAGTCATCATGTTGTTCCTGAGTTCATGCAGCACTACCATTGCAGCTCATCAACTAAATGGTCTTTCCCACTTTGTACTATAATGTGCTCAGAGCAACATTTGTGACTGCAATTTTGGTTTTTAACTGCACACGAATTCAAATGCAATCTTTTTATTGAGTTAGGGAGTGCAGTTCTTAGGCTGTGTTGGACAAAAGGTCCAAATTTGGATCCCTGCTCTGTCCTGAGTCGGGATCTTTGCCGGAACTCAGACGCTGAAGTTGACATTAGTGAAGAGACAATGAGACCTTCAAGAGGGTTTGAATGTCAGGTGAGTTCACGTTTGTCTGGAAATTTCTTGTATGTTTTAGGGTCTAGTAAGGAATAGCCACATGTATGACTGACACTTAACTGAATAAGCTTTAGTTCTGCGTGTGTTCCAGAGGACAGCAATTCTTAATGCTAATGCTGCAAATGTAAGGAGCAGTGATTATTATAATCAGACCCAACACTTCCATAATATCTGGTTTTAGCAGTATTACCAAGTGAAATGCACAAGGTAAATTCACTAACATATATCTTTCCTCCCACCTCATTACAGGAATACTTGATGAAGGTGAACCTCACATTCCCTGAAAGCACCTGGCACACATTTCCATAGACCCAAGGCTGGCAAAGTCAATCGTCATAGTCATACAGCACAGAAACCCTTCGGTTCAACTCATCCGCACCAACCAGACATTCCAATCTGACCTAGTCCCATTTACCAGTACTTGGCCTATATCCATCTGAACCCTTCCTATTTGTATACTCATCAAATGCCTTTTAAATATTGTAACTTGTATCCGCCTCCACCACTTCTTCTGACAGCTCATTCCATACACGCACCACTCTCTGCGTGAAGAAGTTACCACTCGGACCTTTTTTTATATAATCTTTCCCCTCTCACCTTAAACCTAAGCCCTCTGCTTTTGGACTTCTCCACCTTAGGCCTCCATTTTCCACTATCTGTCCCCTGTATTAGCAGTTGTTAAATATCTCACTCGAGAGTTTTTTTTTGTGAATAATTTGCTGAACAGCACTGAGGCTATGAAAGTATGAAAAGAAATCAAATTATCATGCAAATATACCTAAGCATATCTTTTACTTTTGTCTTGTTTTAATGACGTGGAATGTAATATATTAGTATTTCCCTAATCATGGTAGTATATTGGTCAGTGGTTTGGGGGCTGATTTAAGGAAAGATTTATTTCACTTGCTTTGTTCTGTATTACTTTATATCCCCCCTCTTCCAACCTAACCCAGCTCCCAATGTTTTCCCAAAATATGGATCATTATTTCACAGGATTTGATTTCTGCCTCTACATTTCTTTAAGTCAACCTTTTGTATTTAAATGTTTCAAGATTTAAAAGATTTCTTTACCGGATGGAAGTGTATTAGCTTCTCAAATGCTTCGTCCCTCAATCTTTTCTCACACATCTGTTATATTTCTGATATTTATAGTGTCCTCTACTATGAAAACCATGCATAACATTGGTTTCAATTATCTGCATTTCCGAGTTCACTATTACTTGTTCCCTAGTTGCACCATCCAAAGGTCTTGCACTTAGTTCAGCTACTGTCTCTTTATATACCCACAGAACCAAGTGCTGGGAAATGGGATTAGAATAGTTAAGTGGCTGTTTTTGACTGGTACAGATTGTGTCTAAGGGCCTTTTTCTGTGCTTTTAGACCTCTATGGCTCCGTGATGCTCCATCCTGATGAGCCATCTTGGCTGTTTTTGATTTGCAATTATCTTCTAATCTTAGGGATAGGGTAAGGAGGCAACCTCAGCTGGAATGGTAAACTCAATTTTTCTCCACTGGTCATGTACCAACAATGGTTAGCCTTCACTGTACCATCCACTAATATCTCCATGGATCAATCATTTAAGAGACGTGCAATAGCAGCTCTATTGCTTCAGTTGTGTATTGAACTCTGATGTACCATATTTCATTCCCTTATTTCCATCATCTGGACACTATCCACTTCTCTCAACTAAAAACATAGCAGCATGGTGGCTCAGGGGTTAGCACTGTGTGCGTGTGCACGTGTGTGTCCTCCTGGTGCTCTGATTTCCTCTCAGTCCAAAGATGTGGAGGTGGATTGGCCGTGCTAAATTACCCATGGGAAATGCAGGGTTACAGGGATAATTTAGGGGTGTGGGTCCTGGTGGGATGCTCTTTGGAGGGTTGGTGTGGACTTGATAGGCCAAATGGCATACTTCCACACTTGTAGGGATTCTATGATTCTAAGAAAAGTTGGGGATTTCCTATCTCACCATTAGTTCATCAATCTGAAACAGTTCCTGACCAATGCCGTGAAGCTATGGTTAGTAAATTAGATACTGAAGTACATTTGCAGGATAATTCATTTTTATAAACAAAGCACATAATTTTGTCCTTGTACAAAACCACAGTTAAGCCTCAGTTAGAATATGCTGGCTAATTTTGGTCGTCCCACATTATGTGGGTAATACTGGGGCTTTGGAAAGGATTCAAGGGATGATCACATGATTCATATCCAGTTTAAAATACCATACTTGAGAGAAATAGTGATGTTGAAAGTGTTTTGATCAAATGGTGGAAGGGTTGGTTAGCACAGTTTGCTGGACCACTTGGTGACACCAACAATGCAGGTTCAATTTGAGTGCTAGCTGAAGTCACCAGGAAAACTGTCTTCTCAACTTCATCCTTTGAGGCATGGTACCCTTCTAAACTCATCACTAGTCACCTCTCTCTGATGGTCTGCTGGTATGATGACAACTTTCACACTTTGAAAGGACTAAACTGTGTTTCCGTAAACTAACTTTCTACTGAATAGATTAGAGTACGGAGTCACACTTTTATATTATGCAATGGCACAGCAATATTAAGAAATGAGTATTTTCCAAGAGAATAGTAGATCTGAGGAACAAGTTGCTGGCTCATGCAATAAAAACTGATTCACTAAATTCTTTCAAGTGAGAGTAAATACCACTGGGTGGACATTATCTTGGACTAGAAGTGGACAAGGTGGGAACTTCAGACTACATTCAAAAGCAAGATAAGTTGGAAAAGGAAGACAGAAGTTTATAAATCTGTTTAGAAGACAGAAGACCAGGGCCAGAGCATTGGCAACAGGGGAATTTTGGTATATACAGTAAACTTTTCTGTATCCACAAATTCACCTACCTGCACCAAAAAAAACTACCAACAAAAATCAATATCTACAGATAAGTTATGTAAATGCAATTTTTGATGAGGTCCACACTCGTGAATTTTATCGGTCATGGGGATTCTCAGGAACAGAGTGACCACAAGACAATAAGACATAGGAGCAGAAATTAGGCCTTTCAGCCCATCGAGTCTGCTCCACCATTCGATCATGGCTGAAAAGATTCTCAACCCCATTGTCCTGCTTTCTCCCCGTAACCCTTGATCCCCTTGACAGTCAAGAACCTATCTATTTCCGTCTTAAATATACTCAGTGACCTGGCCTCCACAGCCTTCTGTGGCAATGAATTCCATAGATTCACCACTCTCTGGCTGAAGAAGTTTCTCCTTATTTCTGTTCTAAAAGGTCTTCCCTTTACTCTAAGGCTTTGCCCTCGGGTCCTAGTCTCTCGTACCAATGGAAACATCTTCCCATCGTCCACTCTGTCCAGGCCATTCAGTATTTTGTAAGTTTCAATTAGATTCCTCCTCATCCTTCTAAACTCCAGCGAGTATGGACCCAGAGTCCTCAAATGTTCCTCATATGTTAAGCTTTTCATTCCTTGGGCCATTCTTGGGAACCTCCTCTGAACTGCTCCAGGGCCAGTACATCTTTCCTGAGATATGGAGCCCAAAACTGCGCACAATACTCCAAATGTGGCCTGACCAGAGCCTTATACAGCCTCAGAAGTACATTCCTGCTTTTATATTCAAGTCCTCTCAAACTAAATGCCAAAGTCGCATTTGCCTTCCTAACTACTAACTCAACCTGCAAGTTTACCTTGAGAGAATGCTGGACTAGAACTCCCAAGTCTCTTTGCACTTCAGACTTCTGAATTTTCTCCCCATTTAGAAAATAGTCCATACCTCTATTCTTCTTGGGACTGCTGCAGATGAGCTATGTGCACAGTTAGACACATGGGGGTATGTTTTTAGCTATTATTGAGATATGACTGAAAGCTCAACATTTCATTACAGGATTTCGGAGAAAGATTGAAAAAGTGGGATGATTGCAATACTGATTAATGAAATACTTATACCTGTCAGGAGAGATGAAATGATAAAAGGATCATTAAATGAGGCCAAATGGATTAAACCAGAGGATAAAGTCATAGACCGGAAGAGTAATTCTTTTTCCTTCATTGAGGGATGTAAGCATCATTGTTAAGGCCAATATTTGCTGCCCATTGTTAAATGTCAAGAAAAGGGCAAAGAATTATCAACAGTAAATGACTGGTATTTTAGCTCCAAGTCAGGATGGTGTGTAACTTGGAAGGGAACATGCAGATGGTTTCAATGTGTTTGTTGCCCTTGTTCTTCTAGCTGTTAGAGGTCAAGGTTTGGAAGATACTTTCGAAGGAGGCTTAGCACATCACTACAGTGCTTCTTGTAGACGGTAAATACTGAAGTGTGGCGTTGTAGAGGTAGTGAATGTTTTAAGGACTGATGGAGTGCTGAATAAGTTTTCTGCTTTGCCCTGAGCAATGCTAAGCTTTTGAATGTTCTTGAGAGCTGCACTTTGCAAGAAAGTGGGGAGTGTTCTATCACACTTGTGCCTATAGATAGTGGACAGGCTTTGAGGAATCAGGAAGAGTTGTTTATTGTAGAATTCTCAGCAGTTGACCCATTCCTGTAGTCACAGCATTTATATAGTTTATTCAGTTGAGCTCATTGTCAATGGTAACCCCAGGGTGCTGCTGGTGGCCAGTTAAACAATGGTAATATCACTGAAATCCAGGGGATTTGTTAAGACTCTCTGGCCATGGCTATTGACTGGCATTTGTGTGCTACAAACAATACATAGACCCCTAAACAGTCAGAAGCAGACAGAAGAGCAAATAAATACGCCAACCCTTTAGAGCTCAAAAATATGAGGGCAAGTACCACAATATTAACTGGCACAGAATTGGTTTTAAAGGCACAGAGGGAGCCGAATTCTAAATTTACATTCAGGAGAACATTTTAGCTAGCACTGAGCAAGGCACGGGCGTGTGATTTGTGATTTTGTTTTAGGGAACGAAGCTGGGGAATGGCCATCATTGGAGAGCACATACAGTCATAAACATGTACAGCACTGAAACAGACTTTTCGGTCCAACTCGTGGATGCTGACCAGATAGCCTAAATTAATCTAGTCCCATTTGCCAGCATGTGCCCAATATTCCTCTAAACCCTTCCTATTCATATACCTATCCGAGATAACAAGGTGTAGAGCTGGATGAACACAGCAGGCCAAGCAGCATCAGAGGAGCAGGAAGGCTGACGTTTCGGGCCTAGACCCTTCTTCAGAAATGGGGGAGGGGAAGGGAGTTCTGAAATAAATAGGGAGAGAGGGGGAGGCAGATAGAAGGTGGATAGAGGAGAAGATAGGTGGAGAGGAGACAAACCGGTCAAAGAGGCGGGGATGCAGCCAGTAAAGGCGAGTGTAGGTGGGGAGGTAGGGAGGAAATAGGTCAGTCCAGGGAGGACGGACAGGTCAAGGGGGTGGGATGAGGTTAGTAGGTAGGGGATGGGAGTGGGGCTTGAGGTGGGAGGAGGGGATAGGTGAGAGGAAGGACAGGTTAGGGAGGCGGGGATGAGCTGGGCTGGTTTTGGGATGTGGTAGGGGGAGGGGAGATTTTGAAGCTTGTGAAGTCCACATTGATACCATTGGGCTGCAGGGTTCCCAAGCGGAATATGAGTTGCTGTTCCTGCAACCTTCGGGTAGCATCGTTGTGGCACTGCAGGAGGCCCAGGATGGACATGTTGTCTGCAGAATGGGAGGGGGAGTTGAAATGGTTCGCAACTGGGAGGTGCAGTTGTATAGTGTGAACCGAGCGTAGGTGTTCTGCAAAGTGGTCCCCAAGCCTCCGCTTGGTTTCCCCGATGTAGAGGAGGCCACAACGGGAACAGCGGATGCAGTATACCACATTAGCAGATGTGCAGGTGAACATCTGCTTGATGTGGAAAGTCTTCTTGGGGCCTGGGATGAGGGTGAGGGGGGAGGTGTAGGGCAGGTGTAGCACTTCCTGCGGTTGCAGGGAAAAGTACCTGGTGAGGTGGGGCTGGAGGGGAGTGTGGAGCGGACAAAAGTGCCACAACGATGCTACCCGAAGGTTGCAGGAACAGCAACTCCTATTCTGCTCGGGTACCCTGCAGCCCAATGGTATCAATGTGCACTTCACAAGCTTCAAAATCTCCCCTCCCCCTACAGCATCCCAAAACCAGCCCAGCTCGTCCCCGCCTCCCTAACCTGTCCTTCCTCCCACCTCAAGCCCCACCCCCATCTCCTACCTACTAACCTCATCCTGCCCCCTTGACCTTTCCGTCCTCCCTGGACTGACCTATTTCCTCCCCACCTCTCCACCTACACTCTCCTTTACTGGCTCCATCCCTGCCTCTTTGACCGGTCTGTCTCCTCTCCACCTATCTTCTCCTCTATCCACCTTCTATCCACCGCCCCCTCTCTCCCTATTTATTTCAGAACCCCCTACCCCTCCCCCATTTCTGAAGAAGGGTCTAGGCCCAAAATGTCAGCCTTCCTGCTTGTCTGATGCTGCTTGGCCTGCTGTGTTCATCCAGCTCTACACCTTGTTATCTCAGATTCTCCAGCATCTGCAGTTCCTACTATCTCTATCATATACCTGTCTGGATGCCTTTTGAAATGTTATTATCGTATCAGCCTCCACCACTTCCTCTGGCAGTTCATTCCATATGCACACCACCCTCTGTGTGAAAAAGTTGCCCCTTAGGTCCCTTTTTAAATCTTTCCCCTCTCACCTTAAACCTAAGCCCTCTAGTTTTGGAGAGATAGTAGGAACTGCAGATGCTGGAGAATCTGAGATAACAAGGTGTAGAGCTGGATGAACACAGAAAAAAGGGTCTGATGAAGGGTCTAGGCCTGAAACGTCAGCCTTTTTGCTCCTATGATGCTGCTTGGCCTGCTGTGTTCATCCAGCCCTGCCTGCACCTTGTTGTCCCTCTAGTTTTGGACTCCCCTAACCTGGGGAAAAGACTTTGACTATTTACCCTATCCATGCCCCTTATGATTTTAAAAACTTCGATAAGGTCATCCCTCAGCCTCCGAGGCTCCAGGGAAAATCGCTCCAGCCTATTCAGCCTCTCCAGATAGCTCAAACCCTCCATCCATCTGTCGAAGATATTATAATTCAGTTGCATTTGAAGTGGTCATGTAAAAGGAGATCCAGAATAAAAGTTATCAGTTAGGGAGAAGTTAATTTTAGTAATCTGAAGTTTGTGATTTAGTTAAAATGGACTGTAGGCAGCTATTTGAAGTAAATGAGTATCAGATCAGTTAGAAGCAATCGGGGAAAAAAATCAAGTGAGTGGTCAAAGCAAGTTTGTTCTCCTAAACAAACAGGGTAGAATAAATAAAAGCTAAGTTTACGACAAATATTAAGGACTTGTTGCTGCAAAAAACATAGACGTAAGAAGTATAGGCGTGAGATAAAACAGCAAGGTCATGAAAAAATATTGGCAAGTAAAATTAAGGAATACTTAGAGAATTTCTTGTAAATATATTAAAAGCAAGAGTAAACTAAAGAAACAGTATGGCTCAGTAAGGACCATGACAGTAATCTCTATATCGAGGTAGAGGATATGGATATGGTTCTTAATGAATACATGCAAACATATCAATTAGGAGTAGGACCATTCAGCTCTAAGCCTGCTCTGTCATTTGATAAGATTATGGCTGATAATGATTGTCGTCTCATTTTCACAGTTCTAATATATATACATGATACAAAAACTTTTAGGACTGGCTTTAAAAAAGTTGTTTTAATTGCACAAAATGCTAATAAAAAGTTCCAAAGTTGAACATTCTAAGACAATTGCTCTTGAGACTTACCCACCACTCCTGGTCCTCTTCACCGGTTACAACAATCACTTCCCCCTCAATAAAGGTAAGTTCATCGTCATTGTCAGCTTGGCAGTCATATATGGTTTTTACCCGGCGGATTTTGTTCTTTGCCTTTGAAGAGAAGTCGTGATTATTAAGACTGCATATAAAGAATGCATTTGTCATTGTCAGCAACTGCAGCATTAAATTTAAGCATGAAAACAGAACATCTTTGGCACAGGAGAAGATATGTATCATAAAGATATTACAAGTTTAGCTGCACCATTTTTACTGTATTAATTACACAACTTTTTCATTTAGTGCTAAGTTCCTATTTTCCAATTTTCATGTTGAATACAAAATTAGTATAACTACAATCGTGTAACTTGTGTTGGTAAACAGATTACTTGTCGATGAACTTATATGATCTTTAAAACTCAATGATTTTTATTCGGACATTGAATATACAGCAGATTTCATTTATGGGCACCTGGTAGCTGTAAGCATGAGATCCTTTTTGCCAAATGCCACTTACAGTTAAATTGGCTGTGCTCATTAGTCTGACGGATTCTCAAGAAGTTGGGAAAGGGATGAAATGATAATGATCTGATGTCCTGTATGGGCGGCATGGTGGCTCAGTGGTTAGTACTGCTTGAGTTCGATCCAACCTTGGGCAACCAACTGTGTAGAGTTTGCACATTCTCCCGGTGCCTGCATGGGTTTCCTCCGTGTGCTCCAGTTTCCTTGCACGGTCCAAAGATGTGCAGGTTAGGTAGATTGGTCATGCTGAATTGCCCAGAGTATTCAGGGTCATGCATGCTAGGTGGATTAGCCATGGTAAGTGCAGGGTTACAGGCACTGGCTTGGGGTGGGGGTTGCTCTTTCGAGGTCAGTGTGGACTCCATAGGCTGAATGGCCTGCTTCCACTCTGGAGGGAATCAATGAAATGTGTTCTTTAAGAGTATAGATAGTTTGAATTGTGCGATAGGAATTCTAACAGTTCACCATTAAACTGATGAACTGCACAAAACTGTCATGGCTAACTTGAAATTCTATGCAAGTTCCTGATCTCAATGCTACTTGCTGTTTAAGAAGCAGCTTCAAACAGCTAAGTAGAGCTGTACTCACAATGTTTGAGAGCTGTCCACAGAGCATTGTGCGGTTTTCATGCTGTTATCATACTACTGACAACAAATACACATTGTAATAATTATTTAGCTTTCCTTTAGGGTTGAATATATTGAAAGGCAATGCTGTTTAAGCTCTGAATTAATACCCAAATATGCAAAATCAAAGAGCACTGCTTTGACGTAAATTCTTCCTTCTCCCAAGCAGGAATGTTTCAACGGTCTGATAGAGCATCTGTTCTGAAGACGAGTTTATCCAGCACCTTCCGTTTTTATTTGGCTCACTAGCATCCGCAGTATTTTGCTTTCATGTTTTTGCATAATACTGAAATCATGGAACCATTTCATGAAACACACACTTCCAGGTCCAGGTTTCATGACAATGAAAACTAAGAATGTACCAGGAGTCAAAAAACACACATTTTTCTGTATTTTCAGATTGTGCAACAGAAATGCCCTGGGACTGATACTCCGGTTTGTTGAGCGCTAAAATTATTTACTCGTGCCACCGTGTGGTGCTGTTCTTCCTGCACCAACAAGTTATACCAGTGGTTGAAACTGATAGATTTTAGCTAACTAAATAACTGAATTTTATCGAAATTGATTCCTAGCTTTTAAAAAAGAGTTTGGAAGATCATTTTTCTAAAATTATTTTCCTAAAACCTTCAGGTATTAGTTTATGTGGGCGGAATAAAGCAAATTCTGTTTTAATTTACAGGATTTTTATCAGAGCTTTGATCTTTGTCCTAAATTTTTTTTTGTGTAAATTGAAAATTATTGCTTTCACTATAATATTCATGTAATGGACCGACATTCAAAGTAATGCTATCATGCGAGCAAGGGTGCACAATGACTGACTAATTTCTCAAATTCATAATTCATTTCCCTTTGCTTTTACACAATGTGAAGATTTTTCTCAAAACATATCTTGACATAAAACTTGTTAGAAACCAGCAAAATTGTAATGGCTAGGGACTTGCATTTATTCTGTTGGCAGCACAACAATGCAAGTGTGTTGCAACAGGACTTCAAGTTTCCTGACTGCTGCATCGTAAACCATTTTGTCACTTGCAACAGTTTGAAAGTGCAGAGAAAACAGATCCTCTTTTTCTTAATCCATGAAGGAAATAAGGGTTATTGGGGAAAATGCAGGGAAGTGGAACTAAAGATCATTTAATCTGCCATGATCTAATTGAATGGCAGAGCATACTGGATGGGCTGAAAGGAGCAGAAGTAGACAATGTCTTATATTAGAAGAAGGAATTCTCATTGGAAACGGTGAATCAACTCTCTGAAGAGTAAGTGCACTCAGTAGTGTGTAATTTGTTACCAATTCTAGGTGTCAGTGACTTGGAACAGTGTTAGATGATAAGGAAAAGAGATGTCTTGTGTGGTCCTCTACATACCTTAGAAAGTTTCCTGGACTTAATACAGCCTGGTCCAAGAAAGGAAGTGGCTCAACTTTAAGGGCTTTATTGGTCTCCAATCTAGGAACTTTGCTTTGTAAAAAATTTCTCCCGATGAGCCGTGTAAGAAGCTATTCTCAGCTATAGGTTGACTGTGTTTTGTCAATTGTATTTTCTTCTATTCATGATGAAGGATGAGAAGTTTCAACTGGAGTTTACTCTTAAAACAAGGATATCAGCTTGAATAGGCAATATCTTATAATTATTAGTGCTACAAACAGCATGGGTGATTTTGTTGAGTCAATAAGACCACATTCTATTATTCAAGAAACCCCATACACCTAATCTGTTTTAAAATCACTGATGGTTTAACCAATGTCCCAAAATAGTCCTTGTATTTCATATGGCATCATAAAAACATTTAAATACTTTGAACATGGTCAAAAGAGTTGAACTCCAGGATGGAGGTGAGAATGACAGCCCTTGAAAATCAACAGTTGAGTGAGTGTGATATTAAGGAGCCTTGGAAAAATGAGCCACTTGAAATTGGGTGGGGGAAGAGGTGAAAAAAAGAGCTCACGGTCATCTTCTCAAGGGCAACAAATGCTGATCATCCTAGCAGCTCAAACTTCCCATTAAAGAACAAAAAAAAAGCCTTCACTGGTTGGAGTAATACCTAGCACAAAGGAAAATGACTGTGGTTGTAGAAGGCCGATCATCTCATACCCAGAACACCTCTGCGGGATTTCCTTAGGGGAGTGTCCTAGGTCTAACCATCTTCTGCTACTTCAATGATCTTCCCTCCACCATAAATTTGAAAGTAGGGATGGCTGCACATGTCCAGTACCATTTAGCACTTTTCAGCTACAGGTACAGTCCTATCCACATGTAGCAAGACCTGGAACACATTCACTGCCAAGTAACATTTGCTAAATGCCAGTGTCAGGCAATAACTATTTTCATTTTCCTTGACATTCAATGGCGTTATCTTTACTGAATACCCCAATATTGACTTCCAGGATTTACCACTGACCAGAAACTGAACTTGACCGCTTTATAAATACTGTAACTACAACAGCAGGTCAGACATCAGGAATTCTGCAGTGTGTAATTCCTGACTCGCCTTCTGACTCACCAAACACATGGCATGAGTCAGGAATATTCACTGTTTGCTTGGATGAGTGCAGCTTCAAGATACAATAGGCACCTGATTCACCATTTTCAACATTCACTCCCTCCACCAGTTACATAACAGTGGCAGAGTGTGCACCATCCAAAAGGTGGACTGCAGCAACACCTTCCAAACCCATGACCTCTAACACGAAGAAAGACAAGGCAGCAGATTCATAGGAGCATCACCACCTGCAAGTACCTGTCCAAACCACACACGATCCTGACTTGGAACCATACTGCCATTACCATACCACTGTTCAGTCAAAATCCTGGAACTCCCTACTCTGCATGGATTGCAGCAGTTCAACAAAGTAGCTCATCCAACTTTGGTGTTACACAAGAAGTCTCTTTTCCTTATCATCTAACACTGTTCCAAGTCACTGACACCCAACTCAACCCCCATCTCAACTTCCTACCTACACTCACCTTTACTAGCTTCATCCCCACCTCCTTGACCTGTCCGTCTTCTCTCCACCTATCTGCTCCACTATCCACCTTCTATCACTGCCTTCCCCTCTCTCTACTTATTTCAGAGCCCCCTTCCCCTCCCCCATTTCTGAAGAAGGGTCCAGGCCCGAAACGTCAGCTTTCCTGCTCCTCTGATGCTGCCTGGCCTGCTGTGTTCATCCAGCTCGACACCTTGTCATCTCGGATTAGTGTTGCTGAGGCTTCAAGCTTCTTTCATTTTCTTATTTATACTATATCCCACACGACCACTTCTATGTAGACCACTGGTGGCCTATAAATAACTCCAACCAGTGTCTGCTACCACTTGCTGTTTCTTAGTTCCACCAGATTCCTTACATTTTATTTGATTTGAGATTCTCCTTTACTGATGTACTGAACATCTCATATTATGAGAGCAACTTTCCCTGCATTTCCTTCTTGACCCTCCTTCCTTTATGTCAAACATTCTTGAATATTCAGTTCTCAGTCATGGTCACCATGCAGCCATGTTTCTGTAATTCTAAATTACATCATAATCATTTATCTTAACATTTGCCTTTAGATCATACACTTGCGAATACTGTGTGCATTCAGGTGGAGTACCCTCAATTTTATTCTTTTTGACATCATTCCACATTCAAGGCATACTCAATGCTCGGCTCTGTTTCACCTTATTTCTAGGATTCCTCACAGCTTTTCTATTTCCTGTTACCAACTTAGTTCACTTCCAAATGGTGTTATCCGTCAGGTTCCACTGAATAAATTGATTACTTTAAGTTTAGACCAGTTTTGACATTTAAGAATGAGATATGGATTTTTTTTATGTCCATCACTGAGTTTGTTTGTAGGTTTTAAACTGAAATTGCCATACGCCACAGGTCAATTATTTTCTTTATTAGAACTGACCAAAACATTTTTTGGTGACTAATGTGAGACATACGAAGTAATATATCAAAGCTTGGTGAAACTAAATTGCCAAAATTTTCAACATATTGTCAGGCTGCAAAGGCTTTTTCTCCCCACTGTTCTTGGGAAAGCATAGTGATGTGCTAACAGCTCCCTGGTGCCGGGGTCAAGGATGTCAGGAAGTGGCTGCAAGGAAACCTGCTGGGGAAGATGAATAGCAGAAATCATCGTCCACATTTGTACAAATGACTAAAGCAGAAAGAGGAATGTTGTCCTGCAGTTAGAATTTAGGCAGCTAGGTAGGAAATTAACAATCAGGACCTCAAAAGTCGTAATCACCAAGTTACAGGAATCAACTGTCATGTTGAAATATAATATTATAGTTTTGACAAAGACCTAGCTCAGAGAAGGGCAGGACTAGGTGTTAAATATTCCTGGATACAGAAAAGATGAGAAAGGAAGGAAAAGAGAGGGAAATTATCTCAATTACTGGGAACATCGCAGTGCTGGAGAAAATGCATGTCCCAAAGGGGTCAAGGATAGAATCTGTTTGGCCAAAATTAAGGCCAAAGTAATTATTTTAATTAGCAAATAGAGGGAACAAGTTTCTATAGTACATTCAGAAAAATTTTCTACAATAGCATATGTCAATTTCAATGAGAGAACAGGCACTGTTGTGCCTGGCTCTTGGGAATGAGATGGTTCTAGCACCTGTCAGTAATTGTCAGTAGGAGAACATTTATGGGACTGTGATCATTGTAACATAAGGTTTATAATGGTTATGGAAAATAATAAAGAACAATCAGTAAAAATAACTAAGTGAGGGAGAGCCAAATTTTTTGGTTTAAGGACAGACCTGTGTCGAATAAATTTGAGTCAATGGTTGGTAGGAGAAGTGATAGACGAACAATGGGAACATTCAATGGGAACATTGTCTTGAAATGGAAAAGTACAGCAACAACTTCAGAGCTTCCTGAATGACAAAAGAGATGGACATTAAGAAAAGAAATGTGTACTTATGACAGCCATCAGTTAGGAAATACAATTGGGAACCATAGTAAATATGGAGGGTTTACAGAAGAGGTGAAAAAGCAAATAGAGAGAGATTGGCAACAAACATAAAACAGAATCACAAAGTCTTCGACAGACCTAAGCAGTTAAAGAAGGAGTAGGATCAGCGAGGGACCGAAAAGCAGATTTACGCATGGAGGCAGAATGCTTGCTGGAAGTATTAAATACTTTGCTTCAATCTTTACTACAGAAGATGACACTAACCGTGCCATGTGGACAAGGAGTTAATTCAGACACCAGAGGGGTTTAAACTGAAAAGGAGTTAGTACTTTTAGGCTGTCTGTCCTTAAAATGTCAATTAGGCAACAGAACCATATGAGATGAATCCATGGATATTGATGGACATGAGAGTGAAAATTGCACAAGCACATGTTTTCCCTTGTGTGGTGCTAGAGGACTGAAGAATTTGAAATGTTACACTCTTGTTCAAAAATGGGTTTAAAAATAAGCTCAGCAATTACAGGCCAGTCAGTTTAAATTTGGTGGTGGAAAAACTTACAGTAATTCGTAATAAAATTAACACTCTCACGGGCAATTGCAGGTTAATTAAGGAACATTAGCAAGGGTTTCTTAAGGGAAAATAGTGTTTAACTAACTTGGAGTTTTTTGGAAGAGGTTACAAATGGTGTTGATGAGGGTAATGTTGTTGATGTGGTATACGTGTATTTTCAAAAGGCATCTGATACAGCGTTGCACAACAGACATGTGAGCAAAACTATAGTTTTTGATTAAAAGGGACAGTAGCAACATGCACTTGAAATTGGCTAGTGACAGGAAATGAGTAATGGTTAGTACACGCTTACCAGACTGCAGAAAGATGTATAGTGGAGATCTCCAGAGATCAGACTTGGGACTCTTACTTTTGCAGATATACCTTAATGACCTGGATGTTTTGTGTGCAGAACAGTTTCAAAGTTTATACATCCCATGAAACTTGGAAGCAATTTGACTGTGAGGACAGGTTGGTGAAATGAGTGGATAGGTGACCAATAACCTCTATAATTCTTTGTTTGGTGCATGGACCTCTGAGGTCCATGAAAAGTGACGACTTTTAAAACTATAAATCAATATGCTGACATGTTGATCAGCATACATGGAATCTTGAAGCTGCTGTGCAGCTTAGAGGAAACACCACAGGTAGCAGACAAAGGTTAATAAGAAGAAATGTGAAGTTATAGATCATAGAACTATTATAGTGCAAAAGGCAGCCGTTTGACCCATCATGCCTGCACCAATTCTATTACCAAGTGCCAATATCCTGCCTTTTCCCCATATCCTTGCGCTCCATTACTATCCTAAAAAGCATGCATTGCTCTCTTGAATAACTCCATCGAAAATGCCTCCACTACTCAGGGTATAGAAAAGTATTTTCTCACGTCACTCTTGCTTCTTGTGCACATCACATCAAATTTATGCCACCTATTTTTCTTTCCTTTTTACGAGCATGAACAGCTTCTCCCTATCTATTCTACTCAACCTGCTCATGATTTTGAAAACCTCTATCAAATTTCCTCTCAGCCTTCTTCTCTTCAAGAAGGATCCCAAATTCTTGACTCTATCCTCATAACTGAAATGATACATCTCAGTATGAAGAACATGGAGAGACAATATAAAATGAAAAGCACGATTTGAAAGAAGCAGAGAGACTTTGGCGTATATGTGCATAAGCCATTAAAGGCGGCAGGACAGGTTGAGAAAGTAGTTAACAAAGTAGACAGCAAACTAGACTTTATAAATAATAGCACAGAGTACAAGAGTGAGGAAGCTAAGCTGAACTTGTATAAATTACTAGTTTGGTCTGAGCTGGAGCACTGCACTTTTGGAAGGATATGAAGACACTAAATAGAATGCAGAAAAGACTCGAAAGAATGATTTCAGGGTTGAATTATGAAGATAGAAGAAGTTGTGACTGTTTTCCTTGTAGAAAAGGTGGCTGAGAGGAGATTTGATAGAGGTATTCAAAATCATGAGGGATCACAGTGTAGTAAGGGAGAAACTGTTTCCATGGGAAGAAGAATTGAGAACAAGAGGGCACAGATTTAAATAATTAGTAAAGCTGCATAAGCATTTTAAGAAAAGCATTATAAGAAAAAAAACATTATCAGCGCAGCAAGAGGCCACGGTTTGTGATGCACTGGCTTAGAATGTAATGAAATCAGAAGGGAATTAGACTCTACTCTGTTAAGGTGAGAAGGCAGAAAAATGGCAAGAGGTGGGGTCTATTCATTTAGAGGGCAGTGGAAAAAATATTGGGCCAAATGGCCATCTTCTGTACTTTTACAATTCTCAGATTCTCGAACATCAAGATTGACACTGCCTCTATCACTTCCAGGCAAGACATTCCAGATCCTTAGCTAAATTGCACAATAAAGGTTTTGCTCAAGTTACTTCTTTCTCCTTACCAACACATTAAATATGCCTTCTCGAATTCTCAAACATTTCCCACTTGCAATTTTGTGTAGAATAGTTGTGATATTGAACACCGCTAATCAAATCTCCTCTTAATGATTTTTCTCTAAGGAATTCCACCACAACTCTCCAATTAATCTATGTAACTTAGGTTCTTCATCATTGGAATAATTCTCATGGATCTTTTCTACACTATTTCTAAAGTCTTCCTATCCTTCCTAAATTGTGATTGTTTGAATTGGACACAATATTACAACCAAAGCTGAATTATTGTTTTATAAATGTTCATTATAATTTGCTTGCTTTTGAGGCTCAATGTCTTTTAATCACTTTCCGAAGCTGTCCAGTTGATCTTCAATGATTTGGATGCGGAGTTTCTGTTTGTGTTTGCTTCTGTCTAGCATCCCCCGAATTAGTTAACCTTTTCCTGCTTCATTCTTGATTACAGATTAAATTGAACTTGAAATAAGTATACTTACTGTATTTATCTTGCGTGGTAGGGGTACAGGGGTTTCAGGTAAACTGGGAGATGTACCATTCGCATCTTCAGATGGCTGTTTCTGCAGCATGTCCCTTGACTGTGGTTTTGGAGAAATCTCTTGAGCCTGTGGCTTTTGGGACACCTCCCCAGGCTGGGACTTTTGGATGACTTCTCCTATGTGGGGTTTTTGAGGGATTTCTCCTGGCTGTGGTTTTGGAGGCAGATCTTTGGGTTTTTGGGGCAGGTCACCCGGATGCGGCTTCTGGGGCAGGTCGCCCGGATGCGGCTTCTGGGGCAGGTCGCCCGGATGCGGCTTCTGGGGTAGTTCTTCCACATATGATTTCTGGGTCAGATCTCCCGGATGTGGCTTCTGAAAAGTGTCTGGACTTGATTTGTCTACTGAACTGTGATGGATACTATCGATTTTTCTCAGAGACACTGGAAGTAGGAATGAGTATAAAGATTAGTGTTTTTCAGCTGAATGGGCATTTTGGTTATAAAACCAAACATCACCATAAAATATCTTTCACTCTTTAGTAGGGACACCTCCCAGAGTTTGTGAAAATCATTTCATAAATAGATTAAACATAACTAGACAAACAATGTGAACCTTGCTTTGAAATGAAAATTAGTTCTAATCAAAATATAAAGCTTATTTTAACGCGTCTTACACCATTTCTTCCTTTCCCTCAAGTTCAGATGACAGATGTGGGTCTTTCTAACTCCAACGCAATCTTATTCTATAATACTTTAGAAAAAGAAAATTTATTTCCTATAGAGATTTTTTTCACATTTCCTAAGACAGTCTATTACTAAGAGATGCTCAATTTGGTGTCCTAGCAGAAATCTTGGAAATAAAACTTCTCACTTTTTGTTGTAAGCAGGATTTGAATGTCAACTTAAAATGGCATTTTAATGCTTGTTCCTATGGTTAGGTGAAAGAATTTAGGATTCCCTCATATCAGAAGTATTTCCTCTTCCCAATGCCCATTCCTACAGGCACTCCCAAAAATACCAGCTAATTTCCCATCAAACCAGTAAATTTGTTTTTGTTCTTCAATGTTCCCCTATCTAAAGGTGTTACCTCATCCTGGTAAGGTTCATACTTGTCACATCTCTCCAAGTATATTCACTAAATGCAAGTGAATCTGGTGAGAACTTAGACATTGAATTCTGCAAGCTACTTATCCAGTCAAAAGAATTTTAGCTTCATCCGTATGCACCCTCATCCAAGACCTACACAAGAGTTCTCTTACAAGATAATGATGTATATTATGTTCTTATGACTATATACGCCATTTGTCAAGCTTTACACACCCATGAGGGAAACTGGATGTGCACCAAATGAAAAACTTTTAACAAACTAGATTCCACTGGTATTTCGTAGATATTTTATAGAAAGAGTGGGAAATAATACCTGCCAGTGAAAAAAGCTTTAAATGTAAGAGCTAATGATGTAAAATGTTACAATATCATGTTAAATTATAAGTTTTAAGTATTTGAATGTCAACGGTAACTCACACACATTTAACCTTACCTTTTTGAGGTAGCTTTGGAAGCACCCGTGGACCTAAGGCAGTTTTTGTGGTTCCAGTTCCAGTACTGTAAAGCAAATGAAAGATAATAAGTCACCAAATGGATAACTAACTATGAATCATGCTTCCAAGATGAAAATAAAAGTATATAATCTCTTGAATCTCTCATTCTGTTTTGCCCTGTACATTTCCCAAATATGAATAGGGACTTTATGCTGTGGGTAGGAATATTTCTTGAGTAATAATTATTTCAAATATTGTCAGTCTTTTAGTTGAAATCTATAAAACTGTATCTTCCAACACAATCAGATAATATTGAAAATATGCTACATTATCTCTGGCGTGTGTGCAATTGTCAAGAGTTAATTTTTTGGGAGGCAAAGAAGAGTGGGCCACATTTCAGGTTCAAAAGGGTCATACAACATGATTGTGGTGGTCACTTAAAAGTTATCTGGTAATGTGCAGTTACCTTTTGACAAAACTACACTTAGAGGAACCAGGATTAACCATATTATTCATATAGCCTTATCAAATTGCTGAGGGGATTTGCACTGTTTAGATACTTCCTTTTAGCAAAGCTCCTTGTGCTCAATAAAAAAAAATTGATCAAAAGTGAGAAAGATAGATTTGTTGCAACGGGAAAGTGGACATTTACTGAACTTCTTACAAAACTGGTCTTATTGGATAATGAAGTTTGAGATTGTATAGTGGTGGAAGATGAGCTGCTGGTTAATAGGTTCAAACATGTGTATCCACCTATTGATGAAAAGAGAGCAGGCTATGTTTGGAACCTTGAGAAAAGGCTTATCCAATACATTGGAACAATATTAGACTAGTGAGAATGAGTTAATTTATGTAGTTTGACCAATTGTAAGAAACAACAGAATCACCATGTACAAATGCACCATTAAATGCTATAACATCCACTGAAATAGATGATATCCATCAAAGGTGTGTTAATTTTATACTCAATGAACATTTGTATATAACTTGGCAAGTTAAATGCCTCTTACGTGCGTGATATAAAGACTTACCTTCAAAATTAGTCCATTTTGCCATGAAAACAAGTTTAGAAAAACTGGGATATTTTGAGTCAACCAAAGGCCCAGAATTAGACTGATCCAAATGTGACCCAAACAATCACTGACATTAAACCAGGAGGAGGCTGTTAAATGACTGTGATGTTTCATAGGCCATTAGGAACACTTTTTAAAAAATGACAATCAATTATTATCTTAACTTTCAAAGCGATTAGAATTATGCAACATTTAAACTCCAGTAATCCTACAATAAATGTGACCTTAAATTGGCATTAGATAGTTCCATTGAGTAACAATCGGAGTACTCCAAATTCAGTAGGATATTGGTCCTTTAGTTAGGAAAGAAGGCTCATTTATAATTTGGTTTAAACATCAACCATGTATCAAAAAAATCTAGTTACCTTGATTGTTGAGGCAATCCCTCAAACTTATTTCCTGTTCGATTTGACTGTGGGGGACCAGTATCTGTGCCTAAGAGACAGTTAAATAATACTTTAGGTTAATTTAACATTAATTTAGATATAAACAAAAACATACAATGACAAACTACCAAGAATGGATGCCAGCAAATTTCGATATCAAAAGTCAAGCATAATTAAACAATAACCAGAATTTAGATGACTGATCGCTAACTCTAAATGCAGCAAAGAATTCCAGTTAAAAAACGTTGGGAATATATTATCCACAATAAATAAACAAATACTATTTGTATTATTCGTTATTAATTTTAAAATTTTGAACCACAAGCTACTTTTATTTAAATTGCATCATTTCCCCTAATCTAGTTCCCATCATTTATTCACATTTTAAAAGGTGGAACATTAATTAACAAATCATTGGGCCAGATTTTGTAATTTTAATTGTGAGACCACTATTTTGGAATAAATTGTCTCAGCAGCTTCCAGTGTGTTCAACATGAAAATCAGGAAGCTGCTGTTAGATCTGTCTTGATCCTCCATGAGCTTTACTACAGCAAGAAACTTTAAAATAAATGAAAGATGTGAAGTTTTGGTCTTTACCCTCTAGTCACCTGCTAAACATGCCAGAAAAAGCCACAGCTTAACTGGTCAAGTTTATGTGAATTTTGAATGGCATGATAAATTTTAATCATGGCAGATAACTAGTCAGACAAAATTTACTTTTCCAGTATGTGGAGAGTCATTTCTTCAGAACTAAGTTACTACATGTCATGGTGCATAAGATGAACTCATTTTTCTGGCTGCAAAAATCATGAATTTGCATATACTCAGTACATCTGTCAACTCTTTCCCAGCTGCATACTGTATTAATATAAGTGGTCAGCCTCAAATGTTTACCTACAATGGATGTTTGTTACCAGTACCTTATAACAAGTTGCAAGGCATCAAGCAGATGATATGATATGGGCCATAATGAGGAGATGTGTAAGAGTTTAAGATATGCCAACACAGAGCAGAATGACAAAGATGGCAACCATCCACATCCATAGTTTGCTTTCATATTTGGTGGATCAAGTCGACCTCCTTTTTTGCAATTTTTTTTCAGGTCTTATAAGGTTGCCTTGTGCAACATCTACAGGATTATTGGAAATGCTAAAAGAAAAATTTTTCAAGTGAGAAACAACCTTTTCAGTCATTTGAAGAGCAGCATCAGAACTGACAGCATCTAATTGCGGGTGCTGGGGGAGGTTGTTGTGGGGTGTGGCGGGTGGAGACTGTGGAGAGAATAAGAAATGGTTTCTTGCAGGACAGCTATAAGCGGGGAGATGAAAAGGTGGCTTATGTGTCAACTTCCGTGATGTACTGGTGAAACCCAAATGAACGCTGCAATAACGTGGGCATCCTGGACAGTGACGTGTGCTGCTGGAGGTGCACTCCTCTCATCACCTTGCACTTCCTACCTCCTCCTCTCCGTGAATAGACATTCTGTTCTGCACCTTAATCCTCTGATGGTCTGGAACCTCTTTACTATTCAAGGTTGTGAAAAGCACAGTGCAGTTTGACCATTTTGGAGACCCTGGCTGAGGTGTACTGAAGGGAGCATCCAGATCTCTCCAGGATTGTTCAGTCTGCCTTCTTAAACAATTGCATTCCACACGCTGTAGGTTGAATCATAATACCTTTAGGGAGGGAATTCCAGTGACAGTGAAGGAATGGTGATATATTTCCAAGTCAGGATGGTGAATGGCTTGGAAGGGAACTTGCAGGTGGTGGTGTTCCCATTTATTTGCTGTCCTTGTCCTTCTAGATGGAAGTGGTCATGGCTTTGGGAAGTGCTGTCTAAGGATCTTTGGTGAATTTGCACAGTGCATCTTGTAGATAGTACACACTGCTGCAACTGAGTGTTGGTGGTGAAGGGAGTTGATGCTTGTGGAATGTGGTGTCAGTCAAGTGGTCTGCTTTCTCCTGGATGGTGTCAAGCTTCCTGAGTGTTGTTGGAGCTGCACCCATCCAGGCAAGTTTGAGTATTCTATCAAACTTCTGACTTGTGCCTTGTAAATGGTGGACAGGCTTTGGGGAGTCAGGAGGTGAGTTTTCTAACCTCTGACCTGCTCTTGTAGTCACGGTGTTTTTCTGATGAATCCAGTTGAATTTCTGGTCAATGGTAACCCCCAAGGATGTTCACAGTGGGGGATTCAGTGATGATAACACTGAATGTCAAGGGATGCTGATTAGAAAGTCTCCTATTGGAGATGGCCATTGCTTGGCACAAATGTTACTTACCACTTGGCAGACCAAGACTGGATACTGTCTAGTATCCAGTATCTCTGAGATACTGTCTTAGAGTCATAGAGTTGTACAGCATAGAAACAGATCCTTTGGTGCAACTGGTCCATGCCTACCTGATATCCTAAATTAATCTAGCCCCATTTGCTGTAATTTGGCCCTTATCCCTGTAAACCCTTCCTATTCATGTACCCATCCAGATGCCTTTTTAAATGTGCTAATTGTACCAGCTGATTCCCTACACACACCATCCTCTGCGTGAAAAAGTTGTCCCTTAGGTCCCTTTTATATCTTTCCCCTTTCATCTTAAATCTATGCCCTCTAATTTTGGGCTCCCCTACCCTGGGAAAAAGACCTTGGCTATTCACTCTATCCATGCCCCTAATGATTTTATAAACTTCTGTAAGGTGATCCCTCAGCTTCCAACACTCCAGGGAAAATAGCCCCAGCCTATTCAGCCTCTTATTATAGATCAAACAGCCCTCCTCGTCTTGTTGCATTTAAACATGGATTACTTCAGTTTCTGAGGAGTCGTGAATGGTGCTGAACATTATGCAATCATCGGCGAACATCCTCATTTCTGACGTTACAATGCAGGGAAGGTCATTGATGAAGCAGCTGAAGATGGTTTGGCCTAGGATACTATTCTAAGGAACTCCTGCAGAGATACTCTGGAGCTGAGATGACTGACCTCCAACAGCTACAACTATACTCCTACTTGCCAGGTATGACTCCAACCAGTGGAGAGTTTGACCCCTAATACCTACTGATTCCATTTTGCCAGGGCTCCTTTACGCCACACACTGTTGAACGTAGCCTTGATATTAAGGGCTGTCACTCTCACCTCTAATCTACAACAGCATAAGCATCCTTCATGTAAATCTGGTAGGCTAGAACTCCAAACTACATAAAATAACCTCTCAGTACTGGTACTATGAATGAAACTATTCCCATTAGCAGGTGAGAAAACAGCTGTCAGTACTGAGTACATATTGACATGTTCTCTTGACGTAGATTCAGACCCTTAACATGCTACCATGTACTCACTTTGCTTTCACTAACGAGCATTAGAAAGCCAAGGAAACCCATGCACCAAAAGCTTAACTTAAAAATACAAGTCAATACTGTTCTAATTAAGCGATCAACTAATGCTAATCGGCAACCTTCTTCTCCTTAGGAGGTTGCCTACATGCAACTGAAAGTGCAACAAAACCTGAAAGTCTTGATGCCACTTCCAAAAACATTAAGATCAACCCTACTGGTCTCACTAAGGAATCTTCAACCTTATTGATCTGAGACACACACAATGTTGTTTGCCCTATTTACAAACCACATAGATGCTCTCTAGAAGGTGTTGCACTAAAAACATTCTGTCATAACTGAAAGATGCTCCTCTGAAGAGCACATTAAGTTTCTGGGCAGCTTTAAACAACTGCCATTTCTTCACCACTGACAGTAAAATCTGGGCCAATAACCATTTAGTTAACATCACAAGCAGTTTTTGGTCACCTTTTCTCTTTCAGTTTAATTTCTGCCACAAGTGTTACATTTTTAAATGATTAGAAGGAGTTTCTATTTCTAGCTGATATTTCCAACTTTGCCACAATGTTCAGCAAAAACAAACAACATCAGTTGTAGTGCAAGATGCCTATTTATGTCCCAAGAGTGATTAATTGTTGTAAGCCAAAGATGAAAAACTTGTACAAACAAGAATGTTTTACTATTTAATGAAATTATACAAACTAATTAGTGGTGCTCTTGTGGTGCATGGTTCAAGTCCCACCTAATCCAGAAGGGCTCTAATAGTGCAGTGGTAGTGTCCCTATCTCTGACCCAGAAGACTCAGGTTCAAGTCCCATCTGCTCCAGGGGTATGTAAAAATGGGTTGATTAGAAAATACCCCAACTTGCTCCAAAGATGTGTCATAACACCCTGAACAGGTTGATTACAAAATATTTACAAATAAATTAGCATCAATGACTAGATTAAGATGAACACATTCTATAGGTCAGTTTAAATCAAATGCAGATTGAAGCCGAGCTGCAAGAACTCAACAATCCCACCACTAGGAGAAGTGAAAGGATGCTGAAAAGGCACCATGGCAGCAAGTTGACCTTGGAATAAGCTAACAGAAGTTGGGTTTGTGAGGTCAGACAGGCAGACTCCTGCGAAATTGATGGGAGGATGGGGATGTATGAATGTGCCTCTGCAAATCCTGCAGCATTTCTGTGGGGTAGAAGGGCCACCATTGCTAATTGAATGCCAGCAATGGCAGGAAGATGGATTTAACTGACCACTTAAATGACTTATCATCTTCCTCCACTCCTGGGAAATGCCGTTGCAGTGTAAAAATAACAGGCACCACAACAACACGCCCCAAAAATCTCCTACCCGCACCTCGGCTCACCATTCGACAGCCATCCCTTGCATCCCTAGGGGACTAGTATACTACATTTCTCACTTTAATGTTATCAGCAAACTTTGAAATTATGCTCTGGTTACCCAATTCCACATCATAAAAATCAAAAAGAACAATGATCTTAATGGTACTTAATGGATGCCACCACTCTATACTTTTCACCAAATTCAAAAATAAGTGCTCAGTCAGTTTCGCAGCTTTTGCTCATTTAATCTTAAAGTGCTTTCTTCAGCCGGCAGATCAAGACAACAACATTTGGATAATGCACATGACTTATGCCCGAATGGCCGATAAAACAGATCCTGTGAAAGTCAGCTTACAAAGTAACAATTAACAATGAACAATCTTTTTTGCAAGCTTTTTCCTCGTAGGAACGACATGTTGAGTTGCACTGATGCCCATCTGATTGATCTTTGGTTAGTGACAGTAAAACACCTCAGTGCTCATTGCTCAGAAAAAGTGATTGTTTTACCAAAGCAGAAAAAACTAAAGCTCACTTCAACAAATTGATAATTCATTTGAAAGGAATGAATCACACTGTTCAAGAAATCTTTATAATCAGCATACACTGAATGACGTAATTATGTGGTGCCACTATTTAAGAAAGGAGGTAAGGAAAAGCCAGGGAACTACAGACTGGTGAACGTGACACCAGTGGTGGGCAAATTGTGGAGGGAATCCTGCAAGACAGGATTTATGTGTATTTGGAAAGGCGGGGACTGATTAGGGATAGTCAACATGGCTTTGTGTGTGGAAAGTCATGTCTCACTAACTTGATTGAGTTTTTTGAAGTAACGAAGAAGATTGATGAGGGCAGCGTGGTGGATGCGATCTTTATGGACTTCAGGAAGGTGTTCGACAAGTTTCCTCGTGGTAGACTGGTAAGGTTAGATTACATGGAATAAAAAGAGAACTAGCCATTTGGATACAGAACTGGCTCGAAGGTAGGAGACAGAGGGTGGTGGTGGAGGCATGCCACTGCTTTTTGTTATTTATATAAATCATTTGGAATGTGAACATAGGAGGTATGGTTAGTAAGTTTGCAGATGACACCAAAATTAGGGTGGGGGGGTGCGGTGGTGTAGGAACAGTGAAGAAGGTTACCTCAGAGTACATCGGGATCTTGATCAGATGGGCCAATGGGCTGAGGAGGAGCAGATGGAGTTTATTTTAGATAAATGTGAGGTGCTGCATTTTGGAAAGGCAAATCAGGGCAGGAGTTATATACTTAATGATAAGGGTCCTGGGGAGTGTTGCTGAACAAAGAAACCTTGGAGTGCAGGTTCATAGTTCCTTGAAAGTGGAGTTATAGGTAGACAGTATAGTGAAGGTGGTGTTTAGTACACTTGCCTTTATTGGTCAGTGCATGGAGCTTGAGGGTTGGGAGGTCATGTTGCAACTGTACAGGACATTGGATAGGCCACTTTTGGAATACTGCATGCAATTCTGGTCTCCCTGCTATAGGAAGGATGTTGTGAAACTTGAACGGGTTGAGAAAAGATTTACAAGAATGTTGCCAGGGTTGGAGCTGCAGGGAGAGGCTGAAATAGACCAGCGCTATTTTCCCTGGAGCGTTGGAGGCTGAGGGATGACCTTATACAGGTTTATAAAATCATGACGGGCATGGATAGGCTGAATAAACAAGGTCTTTTCCCAAGGTAGGGGAGTCCAAAACTAGAGGTCGTAGGTTTAAGGTGAGAGAGGAAAGATGTAAAAGGGACCTAAGGGGCAATTTTTCATGCATGTATGGAATGAGTTGCCAAAGGAAGTGGAGGAGGCTGATATAATTACAACATTTAAAACATATCTGGATGGGTACACGAATAGGAAGGGTTTAGAGGGATATGGGCCAAATGCTGGCAAATGGGACTAGATTAATTTAGGATATCTGGTCAGCACGGACGAGTTGGACCGACGGGTTTGTTACCATGCTGTACAGCTCTATGACTCTAAAAACTGGCCATTATTTTGTAAAAAGTCCTTGAGAATTTCTTTTACTCAGAGGTTCAAAATACTACAGTTCATTCAGACCCTCCTGCCAAAATTTCCTTAAATGTTTGTTGTGGTTGAGTGGTGCTTCTCCTTTCTAGCCCTTGTTGTTTATGCTGTCTGAACAATTGAATTATAAGGGCAGGTTTCCATTCATACAGTAAATTACTTTTTTAAACATTACTTTAAATCTCTAATAACCAAAATTATTTTTCTTTTTAGAAATAATGCCGTTTTTTATGACTAGGTGATGTAAATGCACACAGCACTCCAGACTGGGTGTGGCCAATGCTCTTTACATAACAGATATTTCTTTAGGTTTGTATTCTACCATTGTCTAATTAAACTGTACTTTTTATAGTACAGTTAAACACTGTTCCATGATTTCATTGATTTATCCACTAATTTGTGTTTCTTTCTCACCAGTGCACATGCTGCCATTTAGTATCATTCAACATACTTTATTTCTTTTGTTTTCTTGTTCTCCCTCTAGTTATTATTCGTTTGCCCACCAGAACTACTATTCCTATAAACTTACTGGTCCATATTCTCCTGTAATATCGTTTCACATCTTTAAAAAATAATGGAAATTTTTTAAAGCTAATTTACAATTTTAAGAAATCACTTCATAGTGGAATAAGATTATCAAATACTAATAAATTCTTTACATTATAGATCCAATATATTTAATGAGCGCAAGTTATATGAAACAGGTACATTGCCTGATCTAAGTTTCACAGTCTTGATCAGGACTCCACAACAGACCCTGAAAGAGGGTGGAGCGCTGGGCTGCTGTTCTGGGCATTGTAAACTCCTGCAAGTTTGACTGATCATCCAATAATACACGTATTAGCTCAAGTCATGCTTTTGAGTATGCATTAATCAAAAGTAATTTACTAGAAATGTTAGCCAAATAACATCAATGTTGTTATCGTTTTTTTTTCAAATAGTAACAAGTTCCTGCTATCAGCAATTTTAGACAACATGCTGAGTACAGTATTTTCAATTTTCTACTCATCTAATTGTGAAATGCAATCTAATCTTCCTAATTTACTTAGTGAAGAGCCAGCCATGAACAAAGGCTCCACCAGTGGCTGTGGCACGTGCATTGAAGTCATTGTGTCCCCGATTCTTCCATATTATTCTTTCATTCATCGGACGGGGTACTGAGGACAAGAGTTGGCAGGTCATGTTACAGTTGTTTAGGACTTTGGTTCGACCACATTTGGAATACTGCGTACAGTTCTGGTCACCACATTACCAAAAGGATGTGGATGCTTTGGAGAGGGTGCAGAGGAGGTTCACCAGGATGTTGCCTGGTAAGGAGTGCGCTAGCTATGAAGAGAGGTTGAGTAGATTAGGATTATTTACATTAGAAAGACGGAGGTTGAGAGGGGACCTGATTGAGGTCTACAAAATCATGAGAGGTATAGACAGGGTGGGTAGCAAGAAGCTTTTTCCCCAGAGTGAGGGACTCAATTACCAGGGGTCACGATTTCAAAGTGAGAGGGGAAAAGTTTAAGGGAGATATGCGTGGAAAGTTCTTTACGCAGAGGGTGGTAGGTGCCTGGAACGCATTGCCAGCGGAGGTGGTAGAGGCGGGTATGATAGCGTCATTTAAGATGTATCTGGACAGATACATGAATGACCAGGGAGCAGAGGGATACAGATCCTTGGAAAATAGGTGACAGGTTTAGATGGAGGATCTGGATCGGCGCAGGCTTGGAGGGCTGAAGGGCCTGTTCCTGTGCTGTAATTTTCTTTGTTCTTTGTCTTTGTTCTATTATTTCAGAATACACCACATTAAAGTAAAAGACAAACAATCAACAGTATGATGGACAATGAGAGAAAAAAATTGTGCAGTCAAGAACAGCAACTTACACACAAGGTTGATGATAATTATTTGACTAAGTAGCAATGCAAGCGTGTGAATTTCCTCACATATCAAAGTCCCCAGATAATATAGTTTCCATACACCAATGATAGCAAATTCCATTGATATCCAGAGGTTGAATGAATGAGAAAGAACCAACTTTTTGCAGTTTCTCCCTTTTATATCATTTTTACTTTAATAAACAATAATATAATTTTCTGCTTCCTACAGTAACTTTACTTAACTAACTTAATATAAGAAAAACTCACCCCAAGGAATCAGACCTTTATTCTGGGGACCATGAGGTAGCGGGCTTGGTGGGTCAGATAAGGTTCGTTTGTGTCCAGGGGGTGGGGGCGGTGGTCTCTTCTTTGATAAAGTGGAGCTGCCGGTTGTGACCTGGGGACCTACAGGAAGGACTGAAGGAGGGACTGGGCCATGTGGAGCTGGAGAAGCACAAAAACATAGCTGACTACTGCACATTATGTTAAGAGCAGTTATGAAAGCAAGCAATACGGTGCAATGAAGGATGAAAGCAATGTAAAATAATTGACTTTCTCCCATCCACCAATGACTAAAACTGATGAACAGAAAGCAAATTTTCTTTTCAACATTGTAATAGTGATGATCTAATTTTAGATATAATATACACATTTGCAACATTCCAAATATCACTTGTACAAGATCACAATTTCAAAATTTATCATTTAATATTAGGAACAAAAGGAAATAATTCATGATTATTAATGAACTGCAGCATCTCGAAGTTGGATTCTCAAACTTTTTTTTCTGTCTTTTACCAAGTGACAGCTTTAAGTCAAAAGAATAGTTTCAAGCACCATCTTGACTGTCACCCAATGCAATACGAGAGGTGGGCTAGACATTATTTATTTTAATTGTTAATTTACTGTATGTGGGTGTTGCTGGTTAGGCCAGCATTTGTTGCATAGTATAAACTGCTCTGAGGAGGTGGTATTGAGCTGCCTTCTTGAACAGATGCAGTCTATGCAGTGTAGGTACAGCGACAGTGCTGTTTGGGAGGGTTTTCTAGGATTTTGACCCTGTGACTGTGAAAGAATGGTAACATTGTTCTAAATCAGGATGGTGTTTGTCTTAGAGGTTGATCTTGTAGGTAGCAATGTTCCCATACATCTGCTGTCCTGTTCTTCTCGATGCACAAGTTTGAAAAGTGCTGTCTAAGAACCCTTGGTGTGTTGCTGCAGTGTATCTTGTAGATGGTATACACTGCCTCTACTGTGCATCGATGGTGGAGTGAATGAATGCTTAAGGTGCAAGATGCAATTCCTATTAAGTAGGTTGCTTTTTCTTAGATTGTATCAAAGTTTGAGCTTTGTTGGAGCTGCACATAGCCAGGCAAGTAGAGAATATTCCATCACACTTGGCTTGTGCCTTGTAAACGGTGGACAAGCTTTGGGGAGACACGAGATGACCCATTCTTGTAAGCCGTGGAAATTTGTATGCGAGTCAAGTTCCATTTCTGGTCAACAGGTAAAGTAAAGGTAAAGTCACCATAGTCCTATTGGACCATAGGGTTACTCTCTCATTAGAGAGAATCAAGAGAATTGAGCCCACACTGTTGGCATCACTCTGTATCACAAACCAGCCATCCAGTCAATTGAAATAACTGATTCCCTTTTCTGGTCAATAGTGACGCGCAGGATGTTTACAGTGGAGATTCAGCACTGTCACTGAATGTCAAGGATCGATAGTTGCATTCTCTCTTTTTGAGATGGTCATTGCCTGGCACTTGTGTGGCACAAGTGTCACGTGCCCCATATAAGAGAAAGCTTGAATGTTGTCCAGGTCTTGTTGCATTTGGACATAAACTGCTTCAGTGTCTGAAGAGTTGTGAATGGTGCTCAAGTCTGTGCAATCAATGAATATCCCCACCTCTGACCTCATGACGGAAAATGGGTCATTGATGAAACTACTAATGTCTGAGGACATCACCCTGAGGAACTCCTGCTGCGATGTACAGACTAACTACCTCAGGTATAAAAACAAGGCTCCATCTGCCTGTTAAAATACAAGCTGTAGAAACAGCAGAAAATTATCCCAATATCCGAGTCAATTAGCAGCCCTGAAGCAACACCATCAAAAACAGATTAGCCTCCAGTTTATATTATTTCCTTGAACAATATGTAATGGAACCTACGAGGGAGCAAGCTATCCTAGGTCTAGTCCTGTGTAATGAGACAGGAATAATTAATGAGCTCACAGTTAGGGATCCTCTCGGAAGGAGCGATCACAGTATGGTTGAATTTAAAACACAGATGGAGCGTGAGAAGGTTAAATCCAGTACCTATGTCCTGTGCTTAAACAAAGGAGACTATGAAGGAATGAGGAAGGAGTTAGCTAAGGTAGAATGGGAGCAAAAACTTTATGGTGGGTCAATTGAGGAACAGTGGAGGACTTTCAAAACAAGTTTTCACAGTGCTCAGCAGAAGTATATTCCAGTGATAAGGAAGAACTGTAGGAAAAGAGAGAGCCAGCCATGCATGTCTAAGGAAATAAAAGAAAGTATCAGATTGAAAAAAAACACATACAAAAAAGCAAAGAGTAGTAGGAAACTAGTAGACTGGGAAATCGTTAAAGGCCAACAGAAAGCCACAAAAAAAGTTATAAAGAAAAGTAAGATAGATTATGAGAGTAAACTAGCTCAGAATATAAAAACAGGCAGCAAAAGTTTCTATAAATATGTAAATCGTAAAAGAGTGGCGAAGGTAAACATTGGTCCTTTAGAGGATGAGAAAGCCATTTTAATAACTGGGAATGAGGAAATAGCCGAGACATTAAACAGTTATTTCGTGTCGGTCTTCACAGTGGAAGACACAAATAACATGCCGAAAACTAATGGCAAGAAGGTTATAGCAGGTGAGGACCTAGAAACTATCATTATCACTAAGGAGGCAGCGCTGGGCAAGCTAATGGGGCTAAAGGTAGACAAGTCTCCTGGCCCTGATGAAATGCATTCTAGGGTACTAAAAGAGGTGATGGGGGAAACAGCAAATGAACTAGTAATTATTTACCAAAATTCACTGGACTCTGGGGTGGTTCCCGCTGATTGGAAAACAGCCAATGTGACGCCACTGTTTAAAAAAGGAAGTAGACAAAAAGCAGGTAACTATAAACCAGTTAGCTTAACTTCGGTAGTGGGGAAAATGCTTGAATCTATCATTAAGGAAGAAATAGCAAGACATCTGGACATAAATTCTCCCATTGGGAACACCCAGCATGGGTTCATGAAGGGAAGGTCATGTTTAACTAATTTGGTGGAATTCTTTGAGGACATTACTTGCATGGTGGACAATGGGGAACCTGTGGATGTGGTGTATCTGGATTTCCAGAAGGCATTTGACAAGGTGCCACACCAAAGGCTGCTACATAAGATAAAGTTGCACGGTATTACAGGTAATGTATTGGCATGGATACAGGATTGGTTGACCAGTAGAAAGCAAAGAGTAGGAGTAAATGGGTGTTTTTCTGCTTGGCGGTCAGTGGCTCGTGGCGTGCCTCAGGGATCAGTGTTGGGACCTAAATTATTTACAATTTACATAGATGATTTGGAGTTGGAGACTAAGTGTGGTGTGTCAAAATGTGCAAATGACACTAAGATGAGTGGTGGAGCAAAGTGTGCAGAAGACACTGAAAGTCTGCAGAGGGATACAGATAGTCTAAGTGAGTGGGCAAAGGTCTGGCAGATGGAGTACAATGTTGATAAGTATGAGGTCATCCATTTTGGTAGGAATAACAGAAAAATGGACTTATGTTTTAAATGGTAAAAAATTGCAGCACGCTGCTGTGCAGAGGGACTTGGGTGTCCTTGTGCATGAATCGCTGAAGGTGGGATTGCAGGTGCAGCAGGTAATTAAAAAGGCAAATGGAATTTTGTCTGCCATTGCTCGAGGGATGGAGTTTAAAAACAGGGAGGCTATGCTGCAGCTGTATAGGGTCCTGGTGAGGCCACACCTGGAGTACTGTGTGCAGTTTTGGTCTCCTTACCTGAGAAGAGATATACTAGCACTGGAGGGGGTGCAGAGGAGATTCACTCGGTTGATTCCAGAGTTGAGAGGGTTGGATTATGGGGAGAGACTGAGTAGACTGGGCTTTTACTCTTTGGAATTCAGAAGAATGAGGGGAGATCTCATAGAAACATATAAGATTATGAAGGGAATAGATAAAGTGGAGGCAGGGAGGTTGTTTCTGCTAGCAGGTGAAACTAGGCCTAGGGGGCATCGCCTCAAAATAAAGGGAAGCAGATGTAAGACTGAGGTCAGGCAGAACTTCTTCACCCAAAGGGTTGTGAATCTGTGGAATTCCCTGTCCAGTAAAGCGGTTGAAGCTACCTCACTGAATATTTTTAAGGCAAGGCTAGATAAATTTTCGAAAAGTAAAGGAATTAAGGGTTATGGTGAGTGGGCGGGTAAGTGGAGCTGAGTCTCAAAAAGATCAGCCATGATCTTATTAAATGGCGGGGCAGGCTCGAGGGGCCAGATGGCCTACTCCTGCTCCTAGTTCTTATACTCTTATTATTGATATGTGTAGTACCTAGTTCAGAATATCTTTGTTGTCATGTTTGTCTATATAACAGGGAATGGCTACATTTCAAAAGTCACACTTCAAGCACAAAATAATTTAGCACATGTTGAGAACACTGTGTAAACATATGATTTCTTTCTTGTTCAAAGTGGGAATTGGGCAACCCTACCTTCCCAATAGACAAGTACACTTTGTGGCCAGAGGAAGGAATGCAATGCTATAAGTTAAATTTTGCAATCTGCGTTCCTTGCAAACATGACTCTCTGGAGTGTAGAATCCAATGTCAAAAGGGACTTTTGCATATTCTCCATTCTCCTCTTTTAATTTTTGACAAGGTTAAATTATTCACTTCAAACTACTCTGACACAGGCTGCAGAAAGACTTTAGAATTCGGTTTGGGATGACAAATCATTTACAAATGCATTACACCAGATATCTGGGCCTATGACTCAATTTACATTTGGAGGAAAATCAAAACTAACTGAAGATATATTTCACGGACAGATTCTGGATTGTAAGAAATTAAATATGCCACAACATTGCTAAAGTCCTATGAACATAACGGAACAAAAATTTTGTATTCTTACTACAAGCTCTATATAAACATACTGTTTAACTACCAGCAGGTCAGGTCTTATGTAAATTGATTTATATTAGTGCTTTAGAAATCTGAAACTATTAGCACCAGCCAATATTGATTGTTTCCTTTAATACAAAAATTTAATACTTTAGATGCTGGAAATCTGAAATAAAAACGGAAAATGCTGGAAATATGCAGTAGTCTGGAAACACTTGTACAGAAAGAAAGTTAATGAGCTGAATCTTAACTTAAGTTGTGTCAGGTAATTTTGGAGGGATGTCCACCGCGACACCTACTAGTTTTTCTTGCCAAATCTTATCAAACTTGCCTCATTAATTATTTACCCTCCCCCTTAATGGCAATAGACATATCCAATTCTGGGCCCATTTTACCACATACTGTTTCCAAAACAACTTGCCACACAGTGGATATCCCTGAATTAATCAACATTGCTTGTGCCTGCACATCCTTGTTATCCACCCAGGCAAGCAATGTCAGGGTAGAGGTGCCCTGCACGATTCCTGACACTTCCCCCAGATTCCCCATGCTGTGCAGACTACAAGACTGTGCAGACTGCTGTAAGAGACTACAAGACATAGGAGCAGAAGTAGGCCATTCAGCCAGTTGAGTTTGCTTCGTCATTCAGTGAGATCAGGGTACTTTGATAATCCTCAAATCCACTTTTCTGCCTTTGGGTGGGACCTCCTCTTTCTCCATAGGGGCCACAACATGAGGAATGCCAGCCTCATTTAAGTTTACCACCAGTGTTAAAGTAGTCTCAGCCATATGGAGGAAAGCACAGTAATGTAGGAAAGAAGATCAATGGCTTTCCTCCACTCCACAGGACTAATTGTTACCATCTTCTCCCTGATGTCTCAAACTCACTCTATTTGTTTTTATTCATTCATGGGATGAGGGCATCGCTGGCTAGACAACATTTATTGCCCATCCCTAATTGCCTAGAGGGCAGTTAAGAGTCAACCACATTGCAGTAGGTCTGGAGTCACATGTAGGCCAGACCAGGTAAGGATGGCAGTTTCCTTCCCTGAAGGACATTAGTGAACCAGATGGGTTTTTCCGACAATCAGCAATGGATTCATAGTCATCATTAGATTGTTAATTCCAGATATTTATTGAATTCAAATTCCACCATCTGCCATGGTGGGATTCAAGCCCATGTCCCTAGAACATGACCTGGGTCTCTGGATTAACAGTCCAGCAATAATACCACTAGGCCATTGCCTCCCCTGCTAACCTATCCCTGCCACTCTACAGGCTTCCCACCAAGACTTGTGCTCTACCACTCTCGCTAATGCCTGCAGTATCTTCCCTCACTCGCCATCAATCACGACTACTCCCAACACCACTAACCGCAAATGCCCTCAGCAATGCTAAATCACTAACTGGGTTCACCCCACCACTTGTGAGCAAGTCAGATATTTTTGGTGCATTTCAGAGGGAAAGCAGTCCCCGGTAGGGCAGAAAATGTCAAGACAGGTGGTGAGCTGCATGACATTTAAGTCCTCACCCCTTAATGTGCAAAGTATCCTGACCGTCCAGAATAGCTTGACTGAGTGTTTCCAAGCCCTGGACTGACATCGACATGTTCTTGGCTTACTATTCCAGGGTCCCTGAGTGATGGCTATCCCCCATGACTTGGCTAAGGACTGCTGACAAGCACGACAAGCTTCCTTTGTGTTTGTGCTAAATGACTAGATATGACAAAAGAAATATGAACTTGGTATCTCGGGCTGAGGGGGGAAAAGCACAAAAAGGTAAGGCAATGTAAGGCAGAGATGCTGTAAGCATTCAGGTGGCCAAAGTAAGCGAGCACAATGACTGTGAGGGAAGCGTCTGAAAATGCAGCCTGGTCCAGTCTGTAAGCTGGGTGCTTGTCCCTGAGTGCAGTGTCCTTGCTGCAGCATTACAATGATAGTGACCAGTGCAGCATGAGGTAAAGCAATGAAACGTCCTGTAATTGGACTGGAGAGGTATCATGTGAGTTCTTAGAAGTTGGCACATTTAGATTCCACTGTCTGGAAAAGTGGAGTATGTGTGGCTAGTGCCAATAACACATGCCTTGAGATGTTGGTGCCTCGTGCCCAACATCGAGGTGGTTTGGAGCAAGTAGTGAGGTGAATTCACCAGGTGCCTGCTCAGATTTCCATGTTTACTTTTCTCAATGTCTCACTTGTTTGATGAGTTTGGTAGATAAAAAACTTAAAATTATGAGGTGTGCTGGGCCATCAATAAGATGATTAACAAGCAATAATTCGCATTAATTGGCAACTCGCTGCAAATGAGTGAGAAACTCACTGTTACCTAGCAAGAAACTTGTCCGCTGTGGAAAACTGAAAAGTTAAAGAGAGATGCTACAAAGGCAGTGATTGGCTTCCCATCCAAATCTTTTACTAATCTCACCGCAGCCCACATTGCTCAGACCCCTGTAAGGTCCTGCAAATGTTTCAAGTTGATAACCTTCTATCATAATTGAAGAAAGAAATAATTAGTTTTGAGTTTATGAAGAAAGAAGTGATAGGTTTGAGTTTAGAGTAACTGGGGGAAGGGAGAGAAATCTGTGATAGGGTGGACAGCAAGGGAGCTTAAATGATACAAGATTTCATGCTTTAAAAACCAAAGCAAGAAGGAATGGGAAAAAGCTGTAAAAGCATACTTCCAACATTTTTCATTTTTAAATCATTTCTAATTCGACTACAGATTCCTTCTATTCATCATAATCTATAATCTGTTAAGAAAAAAAGTTTAAATATCACTTTTATGTTTTAATTATTAGTAATATTAGAATCAGAAATATCTTTTTAAGGTACAATGCCTTCTTAGTTGTATGCTTTTTTGATTTTTACCTCAGTTGGTAGTATTATTAGATTACAGCGGCCATGTTAATTTGTTCAGTTTTGTGATTATGAGATGTTGATTGGTTTGAGCCATATTTATTGCAGTAAGAAATGATAACATAATTAAGATCAAAATTCTGATTTCAAAATGGATAACTTTTTTTATTTACTCGTAGGATTGGGCATTAGTGACAAGGTGAGGATTTATTGCTCATCTCTAATTGCTCTCATGAAAGTTGTAGTAGGCCACTTTCTTGAACTACTGAAATCTGTGTGGTTCAGATACACTTATGTTGCTGTCAGGTAGAGAATTCCAGGATAGTGACTCAGTGCTATTGAAGACAGAGTGATGTATTTTCAAGTCAGGATGGTCGGGCTTGGAGGAGGATATGAGTTAGGTGTTCCCAATGTACCTGCTACTCTTATTCTTCTAAGTGTTAAAGCTGTGGATTTGGAAGTTGTTGTTTATACAGCATTAGCCCATCGTGGCAGTACTTTATGCACTGCAAGAATCATATTCTTCAATGGGATCCATTGTTAAAAAAATGTAGACATCCATTTGACCAGAACATTTACCCAGTTGTTATTAGCAGTTAAATGCACAACTGCAAATCATAATTAAACACACTAACACTTCAGAGAAAACTGTTCTTTCATTTTTATCACCAACCTTTGCTTGGATTCCTAGGAGGAAGTGGAGGGGCATCAGTGGCCGGTGATGTTGGAGAATCCGTGCCACTTCCATATATTTGATTACTAAATGCCCCATATGACAGTCGCTGCTTTTCCCGTGCTATGCCAAGTCCGGGGATCATAAGTTTATCTTGTGGGGAGAGACTAGAAGAGTGGCAGCAGCTCTGTGGCCTTGGAGAACGTTCTTTTTTTACAGGGCTGGTCTAATGAAAGGGAAAAGAGGACAAACTTGAAATACATCAGCACTTAATATCTGAGATAGAGTCCATCTCTGTTGAAATGATGATGAGAGTTACCCAAAGATGAAAAATCTCTGCATCTGACACAGATTCAATTTTCAGTGTTTTTTTTCCCCAAAAGTATTTATATTTAATGAATAGTTTTAAATTTGGGTTGTTAAGATTGGATTTTTTGCTGTATACGTGACAGTGATTTTTAGGCCAAACTTATCTCAACTACAATGTTACAACTAAGAAAGACCACACTTTTTCAAATAAATATATTCCCTCTTAGACACTATTCTTTTCCACGATTATAATTACATAAAAGATGAACTCTTGATCAAATCAAATTTCCATCACATTTGAACCATGTCTTATAAAATTGGGAAGGAGTCTTGCCTTCCTATAATTTATTATTCAACTTTTATTTCTATTTGGATATAGGAGCCAATGTTGGTCTACTGGTTAATCAAACAATTAAAATCATTACATAACCCTGGAATTATGCAAAATTATTTGTAAATATGCTATATAGTTCAGGAGTTTTGGCTTACTGGAGACATTCACAACTTGAAGAGTCATGTCGTAAACGGAGACCCGACTTAAAGGCTGAGCTGAATCTTGATTTACTTCACAGTGCAGTACTGTATTGACTGATGTGCTATCTGCTGTGACAGTTAAAATTATTACTTCTTATTTTATCCAAAATATGGGCTCTAAGTTACTCTTTTTAGGCTAAGTCCAAGTTGTGTTGAGTTTATGAGGAATTTCCATCTGCGAAGCCTAGCGAGTTTGTCTCCAAATCTTACCAACCTCACCTCATCAGCTATCTACCTAAACCTATTATGGTATAAAATCCCAAGAGGCCATTCAGCTCATAGAGTCTGCACTGACCTTCTGGACAGCATCCCACCCAGACCCACCCCCACTATTGCCATAACCCTGCATTTACCATGGCTAATCCACATAGACTACACATCCCTGGACATTATGGGGCAATTTAGCATAGCTAGTCTGCCTAGCCTGCACACCTTTGAACTGTGGGAGGAAAGTGGAGCATCTGGTGGAAATCCATGAAGACACTGGGAGAACGTGCAAACTCCACATGGACAGGTGCCCAAGACTGGAATCAATCCCAGGTGCCTGGTGCTATGAGACAGCAGTGTTAACTATTGCGCCACCATGCTGCCCTAAAAGTAGCATCCTAACATTCAATTCTGGGCCCCATGTTACTACACACTGTCCTTAGAACAATTTGCTACTCAGTGGATATCTCAAAATTCACTGGCATCCCTTGTGCTTGCATAATTTTTTAAAAGCCTGAGCAAGCACTGTCAGTCCGGAGCTCCCCTGCACAGCTGCCAACATTTGCTCCGGACATGGCAGTCAGGGTGAAATCGATGTCCCACTTTGTGGTCAGGTAACTGGAGGTCCTGTTGGAAGGATTGGTGCAGAGGCGGGACGGCCTTTTCTGCTAACGCCAGCAGCAGAGGATGAAATCAGACCATGCCAGCCTGATCTGAAGTTGCAAACTGGGTCAGTGCAGTCTCAACTGTCTGGAGGAATGCACAGTACTGTCGGAAGAAGGCCCCTCTGCCAGCTTAAGTGCCATCATCTTCCATCTGATTTTTCACATTCATTGTATCTCTACTACTATGCACACCTCCTATCCAAGCACATGCTCCATTATTCTCACTACTGCCTGAAGCTCTTCTCTCACATTCTGTCAGCCACCCTAATGCACAGCACAACCAATCCTGTATGCTCTTTGCATTGCTTCATCACTTGCTGGAGACTCCTCCTGCACCAATGGTAACAGCGTTGCCACCTACTTTCATCTCCCTTAATATGTCTCATCCTCATTGCAGAAAGAAAATGGCCCCTAATAGGGCAGAAAGACTATAAACAGGTGGTGGGCTGCCCTACATTTGGCTCCCCATCCTGTACGTGGAAATCATTCTGAATTCGTCCACGCCAAGTGGCTGAATGACCATTTCCAAATCCATGAACTGGTATCAGAGGCTGCCCTTGACGTATTTGTGTTGGCATTCCCAACTGAAAATTATCCCCCTTGATTTGGCTTAAGCTGCTAACAAGCATGACAAGCTTCCCTCCTTTGTGCCTACGCTAAATAGCGAGGCAAGACAAGCCTGGTATCTATGGTTGAGCCAGTGAAGTGCAAAAAGGTACGGCAAAGATGTTGTGAGCATCCAGTTTGGTCCGGATTGAGCAAGCACAATGACAATAAACGAAGAGCACAGAGATGCAGCCTGGTCCAATCCATGAACTTGGTGCATGTCCCAAATGCACAGTATCTTTGCTGCATCATTATGATGACTTACTGGTGCAGCCCAAGGTGCACTGAAGGGCAGATCTGTAAGTGGATCAAAATTTGCCTTGAGAGAGTTCTTACAGGCTGGCACAAATCAGGTCCTTGGATGGGTGCATGTGGCCAGTACTCAAAGCATACCCGGAGAAGTTGGTGCCAGGTACCCAATGATGGACGACTTTGGAACAAAATGCGAGCTGAATTCACATGGTATGTCTTCGGATTTCCACGATGAGTTTGCTTGATATCTGGCTTGTTGACAAAATGGGAAGCTGAATATTAATGAGGTGAGTTAGGCTGTTAACAAGGCACTTATCAAGTGATGGAAACATAGAAGATAGGAACAGGAAGAGGCCATTCAGCCCTTTGAGCCTGCTCCGCCTTTCTTCATGATCATGGCAGATCGTCCAACTGAAATAAGCTCCTTTAAATAGCAATTTGTCACTGCTGAGCCAGAAACACACGTTGTCACTTGTAAAAAGAAGAACAGATGGAGTGAGATGCTCCCAACTGAATAATTAGCCTTGCTGGACTTCTGATCTGATTGTGCCACAAATCTCATCATAGCCCATGTCATTCAGAAGCCTAAAAAATTCTGCCCATAGTTTTAATCAGATCAGGAAAGCATGAGCTGATTAATTATTTTGCGAATCTATCATCTGTAAGTTCCCTTGCTCCTATTTCATGTAGTATTTACAGCACATAGTACTGATACTGACATTCAGTAGGGTGCACTCTTCCTGCCAGTAAGGAGGCACAGGACTAGAGTATATATTTAATAGTATTTTCTCAGTGTATCTATGCCTGGATTCTGTTGAGAATAAAAACTCAACTGAGGTGGATTTTTCAACCATACTGGACCTTCTCTGAGATGTTCTCCATTTAAATTAGTGAACAGGAAGTTGAAGAACAGATTCTATCACCTTCATGCAATCCTAACTAACTGATTTTGCTTCCTGCATTCTACTCAAGTAATATCTCAAGTACAGAAAAATGATTACCTCAGTGGTGAAGACGTCCAAGGATCTTTTTAAGTGGACTGTTATGCCTCAACTACAGTTCCAGCTACATCAGCCAATTTATCACATACCGAGTATCAGGTTAAAAAGGAGCTCCTGATACTTATGGCTCAGCACCACATTAAATAATGCTATTATTCAAAGATCTATCAGAGAGCTATTGAAAATTTTCCTTCAATGCAGAATCTATTTTCGATATTCATTCAAAAATTCAGCCATCTTGTTCAGGACAAATCACGTCCACAGATCATTCTTCAACTGAATTTATCATTATAATTCCAATTGATGTTATTACTGGACAAGTCAGATGTTAGACTGAAGTCTGCCTTGATTGATCAATTTTATTTTGTGTTTGCTTTTATGAGGTGCATCTCACAGAAACGTAATCATGCAATGTTGCAGACTTGGTTTTAACAATAAAACAGAAGTTTATTAAGCAAAAGAAGTTCAGGTAAAAATACAATAAACCAAACTATTTATATATAATATGCCTTCAAAGATTTTGAAATACATGGTAGAAATATAATCCCTTTGATGGCAAGATATTCCCTTGACAGCAACAAGAGCATTCCATGTGCACTCACAACAGAGACTATTGTCTTTTTCTAAGACCTTGATAGACAGAAGGTAAATTGTTATTTCAACTCCCAGTCTGGAAAAGCTGAAAGCCTTTTCCTGCTGCTTTCACTTCGGTTCAAATAACCTCATCAGGGTTTTATCCAAACACTTAGTCTGGAACTAACACTAAACTCCTTACTCTAAGGTAATCTAGTTTTACTACCTCCCTTTCTCAGGAGTACTGCATTACACATTCATCTTCACCCAAGGACTTCTGCAGAACTTCCCAAAACTGAAAATTAAGAGAAACCCTTGTATCAAGCTATGGGAGTTTCCCTTAAATAAAAAAAAAAGTAATTCCAGGTCTTCCTAACAAAATATTGATGCACAATTGCTTGGTAGTAACCCCTCCTAAAGTAAATAAAACATATGTTCTGAAGGCTATTCCTTCAAGATGTTTCAAAAGAAATCACCATGTCTACAGAAATACCTGCAAGTTAATCATTAACTCTTTGGACACACAGAAAATCCAGATTTCACTAATTCAAAATTCAAAACCTAAAATAAATTGTGATATATAACTGACTAAATCACGCTTATAAAATATTATCCCTAAAAATACTGTTTTAGAAAACAGTTTAAGAGATAATTTTCTCCATCTCTCCAGAATTGTCTTGTTTTACATGCTATTCACAACTGTTAGAAGTAGATATTTGTATGTGTTTCAATGTGTCCACGAAATAATGCTCTACAGAATGTTAAAACTGTGCAGTTTGATGGACTACTAAGAAATAACTTGCTTCCATATTGTATATTCCCTGTTCTCACCTTTACGTCCAAGTCATCATCACTTTCATCAATTTCTTCTTGCCGTAACTGCCACTCATATTCTACGTGAACATGAGGATTAATTTTTCCTAAGGTAGCTTGACTGATCTGAAATTAATATAAAATATCAGACTAAGTGCAACAGTGGTCAAATGAAATGCTTTCATAACAGAATATTTACATACTTAAACCTCTAATTACTAATTACTTTTCTCCTCGGGATGGAAAGACAAACAGTTCCTGCTCAAAAACATTGCACATTCCACCATAATTATTTTTTATCCTTATGGTATTTGTTGTCAGATACGATAGCTAAATAAACATGTCATTTAAATTAATTTAGTAAATGTAAGAGGAGCCATATAAATGCACTGCTTAGGCTTGCATCAATATTTGTTATCTAAAAATTCCATGTTAAATAACAGAAACTGTCAGGTTTACAGCCCATTCAATCAGCATTTCGAGACTGAAGGGGGAGCATCTTCTTCAGTACTGTAAGTTTTCAATCATTCTGCACTGTTAGATTATTCAACATGCACTTGGTGGAAATTTTGGTTCTTTACGTCTGACAACTATGTCTAAAGGATTAAGATGGAAGAGATGTAGAGCTGGAAATCTTCAGAATGCCTGTGGAAGTTATCCTTCTGCCTGCCTTTTCAGATTTTTTTCAAAAAATGGAGCCTAGAATATATTTTCCTGATTTGTTATATCTGCCTGTATTTACTAGAGTCTGCTGCAGACAGTGGCCATTATGGTGGGATGGTGTTAGGGGTAGCACAGAGAGAATCGAGCATAGGATTACTGGTGTTGTGAAATCCACCCCATTTAAGCTGAGGACAGGAAGGCTCAATGTGGGAATGCTGCCTGTCAGTGCAGAAAAGGGAAATTAGGATTATTAATGAACAGCTTCAAGCCATTGAATCCACAAAAGCATAACAGTGGGTAATGTTCTAAAGGGACTCAGATGCTTTCCTGTACCTCCTAAACGGTTGTTCAACAAATAGCACTTGAGGTTTCATAGGGGAGTTCCCCATCGTCAGACATTCTGTGCCCAATCAAGGAATTTAGAATTGGGAAGGGGAAAAGGCACTCCTCTGTCCTTGCCTCTGAACCATTGGCCCCACTCCCCCAAGAACTATCTCAGACTGCGTGTCTCTATTAAAGTCACAGAGGCTCTAATCACAGAGATTCTACATGTGGATGACTGCTCACAAGTAAAACGTCAAGACAATGGCAAACAAATTATCATGTGGTGCCAAAAACATTGGTCTCTGTGGCAAAGCATATGTTTCAGCCAACACCAGAAAGTGCCAGAAATAACTGTTTATGATACCAGACTGTAGGAAATTCTTGTAGCTTGATAGTGTGATCTTTAAGAAAGTCACAACTGACAAAGATATTCATGCACACATCCTATTGCCATGCAATGATGGTAGTGATGGGAAAAACAAAGGTAGTGCTTCTTTGATGGCGCTGTGTCAATTTGTAAACTTTTCACTGTCCTCATGTGAGCACGTGACAATAATCTAATCTAATTTAATTCAATTCTTGTAATGAACGGTCTGACTGGTTAGCCTACGTGACAGTGGAAAAGTGTGTGTTGTGTTATCAGTTGTAGAAAGTTCCCAACACATTAGAACAAGGTGGCTATGAAAAGGCAGATCAAAAGGTAGGGGAGAACCATAATGTTGATCATAGCCTTTCTTTGGAATGCTGTCCATAACTCCAAATAAGTATGTGTAAATCTCACGCAATGGTTATCACAGTTGAATTTTCTGTAGCATAAGTCACATAGATGACTGGTGCCTGCCTGGTGAGTCCAAAGTTACCACGTGCATTTTTGATTGTGCATGATGGTTGTAAGGGTTTGTTCCTATTTAGATAGGTATGCGTGCATGTGCGCGCGCACACACACACAAACACAAATAAATACATTAAAAACAATATTTCATTATGTCTGCTTCTCTCACAATTATCTGGTAACCTAGGTTCTGTATGAACTTCAGAGCAGTGCACATAGTGGAGATTTTTTACAACTAATTTGAGATTGTGGAACTGTAACACTCTTCAAGGACTACGAAGCATCATCATGTTCTAACACATGTGCTGAGTTGCAATACTGTAGCTTTGCTAGGTGAAGTGGACCTGTTCTGTTAATTGCAGGAAAACACTATCTTCAAGTGAAGGAGAATCTATCCTTCCTGCAATTAACGGAAAAAAATGTTGCCTCTCATTATCCTAATGTCAAGCTCTAAATAAACATAATAAATGTATGAGAAAGTGAACTTATGTATATTCAGAATGTGCTTTGAACACTTTGGTTGGACGTGATACCATTTTATGTAATACTGGAAAAATACAGCAATCTTTCTGCTGTACTGAGTCTGTAGCAATTTAAAAATCACACAGGAATGTAAATGCTAGTAATTGAACTTTCTGTCTGGACTTAAGTATACTTAAAAAGCTTAGTTTTTAAAAAAGCATTGAAGTCATTCATGATCAATATTATAGCTAGATAAATATATTCAGCAAAATGATTGCATCACTTCTATTAGATTAGACATTTCTTCAAACACTATGGTTGGATAAGAAATTCTGTGAAACAGGAATGAATTTGAATGTATTAAGGAGAACCGTTCCTTACCAATTCTTCACACTGCAGACGCTGCAATCTTCTCGCTATATCTAGGGCTGTTTCTCCACCCTGGTTTACTGTATGTGAAATAAATCCAATGCAAAATACATAAGATGACAGCAAACACAAAAATGCAATCCAGTCAATTTTCTCACACTAGAAAACAATTTTCCAATAAAGCCATTGGGGGAGATTATAGAAATGCATTTTTGGTTTCAATGATACTCTAAGCAAAATGATACTCTTTAGATGGTCCACTAAAAATGCTCACTTCTGGACTTCTATTTTAGATATTTTCCAATCAACTTCTTTACTGATGTTATAAGTCAGCTCTAGAGCAGTTAGGACTTGAACCCTAGCATCTTGGCTCAGAGGTAGGGACACTACCTTTGTTCCATAAGGACCCTGGACTTCCATTTATAACTTCCATTTAAATACTGAGATCATGCAAGACTGATGGTGAACTCATTAATTCACTACTTTTACTAACCATTGATTTCTCCACATTTGGTCGTTGTTGTTTTCTACTTGTCTTTAGTCCTTTAATGTCTGCCTCCAGCTTAGCCAACACTAGGGTTACAAACATCAGGATACTGCACCAATAAATCAAAATTTGCGGAAGTTTTTTTTTTAAATGTACATTTTTATCAACGGTTCCCAATTTCAAGCTTCCATGTGTACTTCATCTAGGTTGTGATCTTGTACCTAATCCCTTGGATTTTTTCTCTCCTCCTTCACCAGTCCTCAGACTTTAGTTGCATGTCCAAGCTAATGAGCAGGTTTTTTTCTTGACTATTTTAAGAAACTGGCTCTGTACAATCAGAAGTGCTTATTTCCCTTAAAGTATGCTTTCTAATGTTTTCAGTTGCTTTAACTCAATCACACCAATTTTGGTGCTACAGGTTCACAGGAGCTGCCAATTTGTCAATCTGCAGCACGTGGACTTTCAACTGGTTGAAAATTGTGGTTTTAATGTCTCTTACAGACTGATTAAAGTATTCTTAATTCAATTTGTTCACCTTGCAAAATGGATGGTGAGAACCATGATGTTAATGAATGAAGATAAATGGAAGATTTTAAAGTTAGTTTTTAGGATAGCAAAGAGAATAGGAGCTAGTAAAGAAGAGCGAATGTATAAAATGAGATGGCCAGTTTAGAAATAAATTTAAATTTTCTAACTGATCTAAATTATATTTCACACTTAATTTTGTAGTCTTTTGCTAATGATATTGTAACAAGGATAGAATGGACACTATGTAGCTTTGCAAAAGGAAAAAAGAACTGTGGATGTTGGAAATCAGAAACAATGTTAACTCTGCTTTGTCTCCACAAATGCTGCCAAACCTGCTGAGTTTTAACAACAATTTCTGTTGATTGAGTAGTTTTGATTTTGGAAACATTTTGCCACATCGCTTGAGCTGAACACTGAATAGTGGAACAAGGACATGTCATTTCCTAGGCTCTGCTGGTAGACTAAGGCAAAAGGAAAATGCAATTCAAAATCACCGACATTACACTCACCTAGATTTAAACTTGGTTTGCCCCGAAGAAGCAATTTTAAACATTCTACTTTATCGAACATGCAGCAGTAATGTACAGCAGTGTTTCCTTTTGCAGTTGGCTTGTCCAGATTACCACTATATATGAAAATAAATGATAAGAAAATACCGATACAAATTATTTTGTTTTATCAAATAAATAAGTCTGAATAAGAATAGTAAGTTTGTGGATGATACAAAATTAGGAGGTATCGTTGATAGCAAGAAAAATCAATTATCAAAAATTACAGAGGGATCTTGATCAAATGGGGAAGTGGGCTGAAGAGTGGCAAATGCAATTCAATACAGGTAAGTGTGAGGTGTTGCACATTGGAAAGTCAAACCAAGGCAGGACTTACACAGTAAATGGTAAGGTCCTGAGGAGTGTGGTGAAACAGAGGGACCTAGGAGTACTAGTACATAGTTCGTTGAAAGCAGCGTCACAGACAGACAGGGTGGTGAAGGTGGTATAAAGCATGCTGACCTTCATCGGTCGAGGCATTGAGTATAGGAGTTGGGATGTTATGTTACAGGTGTATTAGTCGTTGCTGAGGCCGCACTTGAAGTATTGTGAACAATTTTGGTCACCCTGTTATAAGGGAGGCATAGTTAACCCGGAAAGTGTGCAAAGAACATTTGTGACGATGTTACCAGGACTAGTAGGCCTGAGTTATAGGGACAGGTTGGCCAGGATAGGACTTTATTCCTTGGAACATAGGAGAATAAGGGGTGATCTTACTGAAGCGTATAAAATCATGAGGGGCATAGATAGGACAAATGCATATAGTCTTTCTCTAGGGATGGGGAATTGAAAACTAGACGGCATAGGTTTAAGGTGAGAGGGGAAAGATTTAAGGAGGACTTCAGGGGCAACTTCTTCACGCAGAGAGTGGTGCATGTATGGAATGGGCTGCCAGAGAAAGTGGTTGAGGCAGGTACAATACCAACATTTAAAAAGCATTTGGATAGGTACATGGATGGGAAGGATTTAGAGGGATATGGACCAAATGCAGGCAATTGGAACTAGCTGTGGGCACCATTGTCAGCATGGACCAGTTTGGGCCTAAGGGCTTGTTTCCATGCTGTATTACTCTATGAATGTCATATACATTGAGATACCACAATTCTATTGTTCAATTTTCAAAGTGACTAAATGATGTAGGGATGCACTTTCCTTGGTTTCCTTTCTCTCTTACAATCTCCTCTCACTATACAACTTCCCTGATAGAATGCTCAAGGTCCCTACACCTGGGACTGTTCAACACTGAAATTTTTAATACTGCTCTATAATCTGACACTGAAAGTGACATTGGGACAGACATAGTCTTAAATTTAGTAATTTCTGTGGGAAGTCTCTTCAACAAAGTATGACTAAGAACAGTTTAGTCACCACCTGTGGAATCAAGGGTACATATCTGCATCACACCACTCTATTGGATGTTAGCACGCTATACTTCAATACTTGTGTGAAAAATAACAAAGACTAGATATAGCAAAGTCATGTGAAATTAACTAACAATTTTTGCATTAACCTGGCTTAAACTGCTGAACTACATAATCACGTGAATGTTAAATGGAGAGCAGCACATAACATCCTTAGTTTATTGAAATGAGAAAAATTGTACAGCATTAATGAATATAGAAAATCCAATCTCAAGAGTTTAGGAATGGTTGAAGAAACTGGGACTGAATTTTACCAGAAATTGTCTCATTAACTACACACCATGTCTCAATGGCACCCCACTTATCTTATCTTTCCTCATGCTAGAGGCAGAGAAACGTAGCATGGCCTGGACTCGCAGAACTGTTGCATTTTTAAAGCCTAGATATGCAGCTGATTAAGTGCTACCAGCCACACAGGTGCCAGCCACATGTTACACTTCACAGTGCATGTAGTGAGAGGGGAACCAAATAAAAACGCTATTCAGGGTGGCATAGATCACACAGCTGACACATCATTGCAAATACAAGTGCACATTTATTGCCATTTGAGGACCAAACTATTGTTACTATCTTTAGCCTCATCCCATCATAGAATTCTGTATAAGTTGGCAATATTCTTTCCTCAATGTCCAGTATAGTCTAACATCTATTATTCTATGTGGGACTATCACATTCTAGAAAGCCTGCAGATAGTTGAAAACCTTCACTTTTATTCAGCAACAGCAAAAGAAAAGAAAGAACAAATATAAGCTGCATTTGCTTCTCCGATCAAAAAGAGACTGCTTGCTTTGCGACCAGCATCAAAATCACTGTCAATGAGCAATCACTTCGCCAGCTCACAACTATTTGTAACGAGTACCAATTAAGTCATGCCTGTCTTGTTGCACAGACACTCCACTGCTGTATAATGGTGAAGGTGATGATCCTCTTGCTGTTTCTTCAACTATGAGACAGCTGCCGTTTTCTAGCTCTTCAGTGTCCTCTATATCCCTTCTTTGCTCCAGATAAGCACAGTGCTGAATGTTAGAATTATGTGGCACACTCCGTTTGTGATGTGCTGCAGGAGTTCCCAGAACTATCCAACCATCTGAACATCATCTCCAGCAAGCCTATCATCTACTCGTTAATGGCCCTGGTTGAAGAATGGGCAGCATGTTATCTATGATCAGCATCAGACAGGGTGTAGCATAATGGAATCACCAGCTAAAGCTGTAAAGGATAACCTTTGTCTCCTTGTAAAGCATCCAGCCCTGGAAACAAAGCAGGAACATGAGAATCCTCAATAGACTATTAATCCAGAAACTCAGATAATGTTCTGGGGAACCGGGTTTGAATCCTGCCACAGCACGTGGTGGAATTTGCATTCAAAATATATCTGTGAGTAAAAGTCTAATAATGACAATGAAACCACTGCAGGCTGTTAGAAAAGATTCTGGACCTACAGCAATGTAGTGAACTCTCAACTGCTGAAATGGTCTAGCCAGCCATTCAGTTGTAACAGGTCTCAACAAAGAAATAAAACTGGATGCACTACCTGGCATCAACCTAAGCATCAGAAATGACAATGGCATAAACAGTACTGACCCTACAAAATCCTCCTTACTAACATCTGGGGGCTAGCACCAAAGTTAGGAGAACTGTCTCACAGACTAGTCAAGCAACAGTCTGAAATATTCTCACAGAGGCATAGCTTACAGACGTCTCAGACACTGCCATCACTATCCCAGGATATATCCCACCAGCAGGACTAGCCTGGCAGAGATAGTGGGACAGTGGCATACTTTTGGGAGGAAGTTGCCCTGGGAGTCCTCAACATCTCATGGCATCAAACATGAACAAGGAAATCTCCATATTATTAACATGTACCATCTTCCCTCGGCTAATAACTCTGTGCTCCACCATGGTGAATGACACTTGGAGAAAACATTGAGGGTGGCAAGGGCGCAGAATGTCCTGTTGGAAGGAGGATTTCAATGCCCACCACAAAGAGTGGCTCAAAAGCAGGACTACTGATTGAACTGATCAGGACCTGGACACTGCAGGACCTGACCGAGGACACTGCAGCTACACTGGATTTATGTTAAGTCATGAAAGAATCAAAATAAAAGGGAGAAACATACTTGACCTCACCAAGCTGCATGCCACAGATACATTACAGCATTGATAAAAGAATGACCGCTGCATAGTCCTTGTGGAGACGATCCCTCTTTCAAACTGATAACACATTACATCATGTTGTGGGCACTATCACGTGCTAAGTGGGACAGATTTTGGGCAGATCTAGCAACTTAAGACTGAGTATCATGAGACATTGTGGGCCATCTGCAGCAGCAGTGGAATCAGACCCAACACAATTGGCAACCTCATGCCCTGCATATCGCCCATTCAACATGCAGCTTCAGCTGGCAGTTTGGAAAGCAACTGCAATGTCAGTATTCGTTTCAAGAGGGGTAGAATACAAGAGCAAGCATGTAATACTGTAATACTGAGGCTGTATAAGGCTCTTGTCAGACTGCATTTAGAATATTGTGAGCAGTTTTGGATCCTGTATCTAAGGATGGATGTGCTGGCCTTGGAAGGAGTCAGGAGGAGGTTTACAAGAATGATCCCAGTGTTGAAGGGCTCGTCATATGAAGAGCAGCAGAGGATTCAGTCTGCACTCAATGGAGTTTAGAAGAATGAGGGCAGATCTGATTGAAACTTACAGATTACTGACAGGCCTGGATACAGTGGACATGAAGAGAGTGGGAGAGACTAGGACCGAAAGGCACAGCCTCCAAACGAGGGGATGACCCTTTAGAACTGAGATGAGGAGGAATTTCTTCGGCTAGAGAGTGGTGTGTCTATGGAACTCATTGCCGCAGAAGGCTGTGGAGGCCAAGTCATTGTGTGTCTTTAAGACAGACAAAGATAGGTTCTTGATTAGTAAGGGGATCAAAGGTAATTAGAAGAAGACAGGAGAATTGGGTTGAAAAACATCAGCCATGATTGAATAGCAGAAAAGACTCGATAGGCCGAAATGCCTAATACTGTTCCAACATCTTATGATGTAATGCCAAGTGCAGCATCTGGCATATCTAAAAATGAGGTGTCAACTTGGATGAAGTTACAAAACAGGACTACTTGTGTACCAAACAGTTTAAAGCAGCAAGTGACAGACAGAGCTAGGTGAGCCCACAACCAGTGGATCAGATCTAAGCTCTGCAATTGTGTCATATCCGGTTGGTGGATGGTGGTGGACTGTCAAACTCCTCACTGGAGGAAGAGGCTCCACAAACAGCCCTATCTTTTGCACATCACTGCAAAAGATAACGCTGAAGCATTCGCAACAATCTTCAGCTACAGGGGACGAATGAATCATCATGGCCTCCTCCAGTGGCTTCCCCAGCAACACAGATACTAGTCCAACTAATTCAATTCACTTCACGTTGATATCAAGAAACGGTTGGAGGCACTGGATATTGCAAAGGCTATGGCCTTGCCAACATTCCGGTAACACGACTCAAGACCTGTGTCCCAGAACTTGCCATACACCTAGCTAATCTGTTCCAGTATGGCTACAACACTGTTATCTACCTAAGAATGTGGATAATTGCCCAGATATGTCCTGTACAGAAAAGGTACGACAAATCCAATCGCCAATTATCATCCCATTAGACTATTCTGGATCAAGAGTCAAGTGATTGAAGGTATCACCAATAGCAGTGTCAAACAGCAGCTGCACAACAAAAACCTGCTCACGGATGCCCTGTTTGGGTTCCACTAGGGTCACTCAGCTCCGGACGTAATTTTATACTTGGCTCAAACATGGACAAGAGAGCTGAATTCCAAAGGTGAGGTCAGAGTGCTAGCCCTTGACTGAATATGGTTCTAGCAAAACTGAAGTTAATCACAATCGGGGGAAAACTCTGTTAGTTCGAGTCATACCTGGCACATAGGATGATGGTTGTGTTTTCTGGAAGTCAGTCAACTCAACTCCTTGACATCTCTGCAGAGTTCCTCACGGTAGTGTTTGAAGTCCAACCATTTTCAGCTGCTTCATCAATGAGGTTCCCTCCATCATAAGGTCAGAAGTGGGATGCTCGTCGATGATTGCACAAGGTTCAGCACAGCTCTTCACATACTGATGCAGTCTGAGTCAAAATGCAGCAAAACCTGGATAACATCCAGGCTTGGGCTGACAAGTGGCAAGTAACATTCTTCCCACATGAATGCCGGGTGATGACCATCTTCAATAAGAGACATTCAAATCCACACGTGATATTCAATGACATTGCCATCAATGAATCCCCCACTATCAGCATCTTTGTGATTACCATTGACCAGAAATCCAACTTGACTTGCCATAAACATACAACAGCCTTAAGAGCAGGCCAGAGGCTCAGAATACTGTGGCAGGTTACTCACCTCCTGCCTCTGAAGCCTGTCCACTATCTACAAGGCACAAGTCATGAGTGCAGTGGAATTCTCCCCACTTGCCTGGGTGGGTGACATTCCAACAACACCTAAGAAGCTTGATACTGCCCAGGACAAGGCAGCCTGCTTGACTGGCACCACATTCATAAACACCCACTCCCTCCACCACTGACGCTCAGCAGGAGCAATGTGTAATATCTACCAAGATGCACTGCAGAATTCGCCAAAGATCCTCAGACAACACTTTCCAACCACGACTAATTCCATCTAGAAGGGCAAGGGCAGCAGATTCATGCCCTGGAATTCCCTCTGCTAACAGCATTGTGGGTTTACCTGCAGCACATGGACTGCAGCGGTTCAAGAAGGCAGCTCACCACCATTTTCTCAAGGGCAGCTAGGGACAGGCAATAAATGCTGGCCCCGCCAGCAACATGTCCCTCAAATGAATAAAAAAAAGTAGCACAGACTTCCAAAATGTGGCATCAATAAACACAGATGACTTGTAAATTGATGGAATGGATTCCATTTCTGTTCATGAAGTTAGCCATATTATGTTCCCAATGTGACAAATGTACAGTTTCAAAGTTATACAAATGGCCCTTTGGCCCATCAAGTTTATACAGCCAAAAATATACTACTACTTACACTAGTCCCACTTTCCTGCAGTAGGCCATAGCTTGAATGTTGTGACACTTCAAGTGCTCATCTAAGTACTTTTTAAAAGTTGAGGTTTCCTGCCTCAACTACCCTCCAATTCTGCCCCCTTATTATTCCCCCGCCCCCAACTATGTGGAATAGCTGCTTTCTATTTACTGTATCCGTGCTCCTCACAATCTGTCAGGTTCTCCAGCAACCTTCTCTGCTCCAAAGAAAACAACCTGAGCTTATCGAGCCTCTCTCTGCAGCTGAAATGCTTCATTCCAGGCAATCTCATGGTGGATCTTGTTTGCACCCCTCCAGTGCAACTGCATTCTTCCTATAGTGACCAGAACTGCATACATTACTTTGCTGTGGCCTAATCAAAGTTTTGTACGGCTCCAACATGACCTGCCTGCTCTTATAATGTTTGCTATGACTGATAACTGCAAGTGCCTTTATTTAACTACCCAATTAACATTTCCTGCCACCTTCAGCAATCTGTGCACAAGCACCCCAAGATCCAAAGCGCATCACCTTGCATTGATCAGGGTTAAATTCCACCTGCCACTGATCTGCCCATCAGCCAAACTGTTGATATCTTCCTGAAACCTTACACTTTCCTTGTCACTGTCAACCAGCCAGCCAATCTTTGTCATGGCGCCCTGCAACTGGCGGAAGCAGCTACATTGCTAAAACCTACTGCCTGGCAGCAGCACTCACTTTGTAGTGGATAAATGAGGTGAAGTGGTGTAACCTGGCACAAATTGCATCAGTAACAGCCTTAATATATTTGTGGGTTGAGGATTGCGTGATGCCGCACAAGCCTCTGTTAAGCCCTGTTGACTTTCATTAAGTTACCCTCCAGGGTTGACCGTGGCTCACTCTGTTGATCAATTTCAACGGACATCCCTGACTGTTGACAAGCCAGACTCCTAACTGATTTCTGTGCAGCTCCGGACTGACTTACTGTGACCTTTTGGAATACCACCACCTGTAATTTTCCCCTCTAAGCCACACACCATCGTGACTTAGAATAATATTACTGTTACTTTATTTACGGGTCAAAATCCTAGAACTTAACTACACAGACACCACAAGGTCTACAGCAATTCAGAACACAGCTCCCCACTCTCTTCTCAAGGGCAACAGGCATGGGCCAAGTTGCCCACAGCTCATGAACAAATATTAAATAAAAATCACAAAGTATGTGTACTATGTGCGATGCCAAAGCTTGCAAAATAACTAATATGATCAAGATGAGTTAAAAGATGATATTGAATATTAATAGTAAACACTTGCATTTGACATTGAGTGATTTCTTACCTATTCTGTACAAGAAAGTCAACTAGGTGGAGAGAGGTTCGGTCAGCAGTTCGAACAGCTAGGTGAAGTACTGTTTCCCCTGGTTCCTGTTTGTTAAATAAACAACTGTATTAACTGTACATAGTGAAAATTATGACAATTCATCTCATAACCAAAAATTATGACTCCTGGTATTGCCATATATAGCACACATTTTAGTATGATGATTACTGCTTGACAATGACTGAGAAAGCAAAACTGCATTTTGACCTATATTTCTGGGGATGTTTCACTTATGGTTATAACACCAACCTACTTCAAATGCTAGAATAGATAGCAAGATTGTTGCCAAGATGTACCAGGCCAGGGGTACATGCGAAGATCAAGTCTGGAGACTTTGTCTGGAAATGGTAGAGGACACAGAAAACAAGAAATATTACATGGACATAAGATTCAGTCCATAAAGGACCAGGATATAAGGGAAACCAAAAGAACTGCGGATGATGTAAATCAAAAATAAAAACAGAAGTTGCTGGAAAAGCTCAGCAGGTCCGGCAGCATCTGAAGAGAAATCAGAGTTAATGTTTCAGGTAGGACAACTCTGCCTCAGAACTGATGGTAGCTAGGAAATGTCAGTTTCTATGCGGAGGATAGGGTCGGGGGAGGGGGTAGGGAGTAAACAATAGGTGGGGATAGAGTCCAAAGAGAGAGAACAGTTGGACAGACAAAGGAGTGGAAAATGATCTGGCTAGGAGAGTGAACAGCTGTTAATGGAGGCCGTTAGTGACTAGGAAGAGGTAATGTATATTGGCAGACTATGTGATAACAAGACCTAGTGTGGTTGGAGGCTAGAGCATGGGAGACTTCAGGCCCTATAATTATTGAACTCGATATTGAACCTGGAGGGCTGCAGGGTCCCGGAGTGGAAAAGGTGTTGTTCTTCCAGCTTGTGCTGAGCTTCGCTGAAACACTGCAGCAAGCCCGAGATAGAGACGTTGGTCGGACAACAGGGTGGTATGTTAAAGTGGCAGGCAACTGGAAGCTCAGGGTCTTTTTTGCGGGCAGAACGTAGATGTCCTGTGAAGCAGTCATCTGGTCTATGCTTTGCTTCCCCAATTTAGAAGAGACCACATTGTGAGCAGCGAATGTAGTTTGAACACTAGATTGTTTGAAGTGCAGGTAAAGTGCTGCTTCACCCGGAAGATATGTTTGGGCCCCTGGATACAGAGGAGGGAGGAGGTAAGTAGTCAGGTGTTACACCTTCAGCGGTTGCAGGGGAAGGTGCCATGGGGTTGTGGGGGTGTGTTGGGAGTGAAGGAAGCGTGGACCAGGGTACGCTGGAGGGAATGGTCTCCGCAGAAGGCGGACAAGGGAAGGGACAGTAATATATGTGCAGTGGTGGCATCTCGCTGGAGGTGGTGGAAATGGCGGCTGATGATCTTCTGGATGTGGATGCTGGTGGGATGGTAGGTAAGGACAGGGGGAACCCTACTGCAGTTGTAGGGGGGGGAAGAGAGGGGTTGAGGACACAAGTGCGGGAGATGGGTCGGACCTGATTGAGAGCCCTGTCAACAACGGTGCTGGGGAATCTTCAATAGATAACAAGGTGTAGAGCTGGATGAACACAGCAGGCCATGCAGCATCAGAGGAGCAGGAAAGCTGATGTTTCAGGCCGAGACCCTTCTTCAGAAATGGGGGAGGAGAAGGGGTCCTGAAATAAATAGGGAGAGACGGGGCGGCGGATAGAAGATGGATAGAGGAGAGACACAGGCAGGTCAAAGAGGTGGGGATGAAGCCAGTAAAGGTGAGTGTAGGTGGGGAGTTAGGGAGGGGATAGGTCAGTCCAGGGAGGACGGACAGGTCAAGGGGGTGGGATGAGGCTAGGTAGGAGATGGGGGTGGGGCTTGAGGTGGAAGGAGGGGATAGGTGGGAGAATGGACAGGTTAGGGAGACGGGGACAAACTGGGCTGGTTTTGGGATGCGGTAGGGGGAGGGGAGATTTTGAAGCTTGTGAAGTCCACATTGATACCATTGGGCTGCAGGGTTCCCAAGTGAAATATGAAGTGCTGTTCCTGCAATCTTTGAGTGGCATCGTTGTGGCGCTGCAGGAGGCCCAGGATGGACATGTCATCTGAGGAATGGGAGGGGGAGTTGAAATGGTTTGCAATTGGGAGGTGGAGTTGTTTAGTGCGAACCGAGCGTAGGTGTTCCGCAAAGTGGTCCCCAAGCCTCCTCTACATCTCGGCGATAAAGATGAGGCTTGAGGACCGCTTTGCGGAACACCTACGCTCGGTTCGCACTAAACAACTGCACCTCCCAGTCACGAACCATTTCAACTCCCCATCCCATTCCTCAAACGACATGTCCATCCAATTCCAGATGAGAGAGGGAAGAAGCATCAATGATATCATTGATATATCGGAGAAAGAGTTGTGTGTGGGAGCTGGAATAGGACTGGAACAAGGAATGTTCCATGTACCCCACTTACAGGGATAACTGGGGCCCACGCGTGTACCCATGGCCACCACTCTGAACTGAAGAAAATGAGAGGAATTAAAAGAGAAGCTGTTTAGGGTAAGGACGAGCTCAGCCTATCATGGTAAAATAGAACAAAGTCAGCCTGGCTTCATCAAGGGGATGTCATGCCTGGCAAATCTGTTAGAATTCTTTGAGGAAATAATGAGCAGGTTAGACCAAGGACAGCCAATAGATGTTATCCACTTAGACTTCAAGAAGGCCTTTGACAAGGTTCCACACAGGAGACTGCTGTGTAAGATAATTGGATTGCGTGTCCATGGTAAAGAGGAGGCAGCTGGAGCCTGCAAACCGGAAATTCCGAAACTCGCGTAAAGCATCAGAGGAATTGTGGATGTAAGTGGGCAGGGATCGGACCGGGGAGAAAAGACCAAGTCAAGGTAGGAAGAGATGATCTCTGAAATGAGGTCAGTGACTGTAGCTGATGCAATGGATTGATGTTCCACGGTGGGGTCATGGTCTAGGGGGACCATTCGCTTTGGGATATCCTGATCCATTATTCCTTCACTCCCAACAGCTCCCCCACATCTCACAGCCCCATGGCACCTTCCCCTGCAACCACCGAAGGTGCAACACCTCCCCATTTACATCCTCCCACATCAGTATCCAAGAGCCCAAAAGTACCTTCCAGGTGAAGCAGCACTTTACCTGCACTTCACACAATCTTCAGTTGCTGGAAGAGCTCAGCAGGTCTGCCAGCATCTGTGAAGAAAAGAATCAGAGTTAACATTTCGGGTCCAGTGACTCTTCCACAGAACGTATGGATTCTGAAGAAGGATCACCGGATCTGAAACATTAACTCAGATTTTTTCTTCACAGATACTGCCAGACCTGCTGAGCTTTTCCAGCAACTTCTGTTTTTGTTCCTGATTTACAGAATCTGCAGTTCTTTCCAATTTTTTTCTTCACACAATCTCTCCTATCAGGTTTCCATCATGCCACAGTACCAAAATAACTAAGCCAAGTCAAAAATAACATTATGTGACAAAGATAAACGCTCTCGTCATCCTTCATGACCTGTATGCAGCCTTTGACATGGTCTGGTCTGAGACCTATTAAAATTAATTGTTTCCACTGCATCTCTATGCCAAAGATTTTA